TGAGCCCGGTTGCAGAAGAACGATGGATCCTTGTCAAATTTGGCAATAGCCTGGTTATAAAAGTCGATTGCAACAGGCCAGTCATGCTGGGCAAAGGCCTTGTTACCTTGCACCTTGAGCGCAGTGGCCAGTTCTTGATCGGTAGCCATTTGGGCGGAGAGAAAACGCGAGGGGCACGAGACAGCGATTATCGGTGCGAAACAAGGGCGCGGAGGAAAAGATGACAATTATACCAGCCGGAAGAGAAAGAAACAAGTTTTGGAAATAAATAAAAATCCTCTAGATCCACTATAGACTAAGAGAGAAGAAAAGAAAGACGAAAGTGTAGCCCCAAAAAAAAAAAGAGAGAGAGAAGAGAGAGTCCGGTGCCTGCTTCTCCCATGTTCTTTTTCCCCGATCGCAACGGGTCTTGGCATTGATCCAGACTTGACGGCTAACTCCCATTCATAGCGTTCTTTCTTTCTTCACATCCTCATATCTTCTCCACATGTCTTTCTACGCCCCTCCAAACCAGCAGCGCATGCTGCGTGCCTGCATGGTCTGTTCTGTCGTCCAAATTCACAATGTAAGAACTATTCCCCATCTCCGTTCCGCGGGCGACTCTAACGACCCCGACTACTCTAGAAATTCATGCGTGAAGGCTGCCCAAATTGCGAGAGCACCCTCCAGCTCCGTGGGAACAATGATGCTATCCAAGAATGCACGTCACAGGTTTTCGAGGGTCTGATTGCTGTTCGAGATCCTGCTGCGAGCTGGGTCGCTCGTTGGCAACGGTTGGATAACTACGTGCCGGGCACATATGCGACCAAGGTCACGGGGACAGTAAGTGCATACTTTATTACTGGAGAGACGGGCTTTTTTGCAATCCCCTATGGCTCTCTTATTCCTCTTATTGAGCATGGAATGGCTAATTGTGTCTTTCGCTTTAACAGCTTCCCGAATACATTATCAATAGTCTAGAAGACTCTGGAATTAAATATGTCCCGTACGTGTTCCTCGAAGTTATTCTACAGTTCATCATACTAACGGTTGCTTGTTCCAGGCGAGATGGAAGCACTGGCGAGGAAGATGCATGAAGCATCTATCCTGAAATCTTTAACGCTACACGAATCCACCCTTGCCCATACATTTTTGATTATGGATACCATTACAGCACGCGCGCACACACACACACACCATTGATTCAATCAAGATATGCAATATGAGGGTGGTTTCGACAATTTTGCTGGTTGTTCGGAGTTTCGGATGGGAAGCCTTGCCTTCTTTTTTTCATATTATTTATTAGACTACAAGGGCATACACAGCAGATTTGCATTAGTTCTTGGAATTTTTTAGTTTCGGTTTCTTCAACTGGGGACATGAATAAAATATAAGAAAATGGCTTGCAGAGTAGATCTCTACTCTGGCCCAAATGGTTCGGTTTGAGTCATGACTCAATTGACAAACACAATATCTGGGGATGTACATGACATTTTTGTAGTGACATAAGGTCGTGAGAGCAAAGTGAGAAAGGTGGACCATCCAGAAGAAACAGAAAAAGAAAGAGAAGGAGAAAAGAGAAAAACAAGAAAAAAACGCTCATTAAGCCAATTTGAAAACGCCTGGGCACTTCTAAAAGTCATTGCCGGCATTTTTTTAGATGTTCTGGATGATCTGCTCGATCTTCTCGAGGAGAATATCAGCTGTAGGAGAAAGATACATTAGTAAATGGCTTTGGGGCACAAGAAAAGAGAATTTTAACATACCGTGGTGCTTCTGGAAGACCAGCATAGGACGCAAGCGGACAGCAGAGACGCCACTGCCACCAATGTTGACACCGAAGGACTTGGCCTTAGCGACCAACTGGTCACGCTTGGGTGTGTCCCAGGCGATGAAGGTACCCTGGTTCTTACCACGGAGGTTCTGGAAGTGCTGGGGGTACTTCTCGGAGAGACGGGCAAGACCACTATAAAGGTAGTCGCCAGTGGTACGGGTGTTCTCGACGAGGTTGAGACGCTCGATCTCCTCAACGATTCCACGGAAGATCAGGGCGCGGGCTGGGTCTCCCATCCAGGTGTTGAACTGGCGGTAGGGTTTGTTGGGGCGGAGAGCAGGGTTGCCGAAGTAGTAACCGGCAGTCTGGGCCTTCTTAGAGAAGGTGACCATGTCCGGGGGGGAGGACAGGTTCCAGTGGTCGTGAGCCCAGAACTTACCAGTGGCACCAACACCGGTCTGCACCTCATCGACGATGAAGAGGACGTTAGTGCGCTTGGTGATATCACGGAGACCTTGGAAGAAGGCGGGCGAGGCGTGGTTGTCACCACCCTCGGACTGGATGGGCTCGACCATCACGGCAGCGACGGGGTTGTGGAACTCCTTGATGAGACGCTCAACCTCGGCCAAGCAGCGCTGCTCCTCGGCGGCATTCTCTTGGACATGGTCCTCCAGCGGGTACTTCAGCTGGGGGAAAGAGGCCTGGGGCCAGTCAAAGGCGGGGATATCCAGCTTGTGGATAGCCTTGCTGCGGGTGGTGGACAGGGAGCCGAAGAGACGTCCGTGGAAGGCAGATTTGAAGGAGAGAATGGACAGTTGGGGCGAGCCGGGAACCTGGTTGTTCATGGTGGAGAGAAGCTCCTCCTCGGTGAACTCGACATCGGGGCCACCACGCTGCATCTGGCGGTAGTACATGAAGGCCGCCTTGTAGGCAGTCTCGTTGGCATCAGAGCCAGCCATGGCAGTGAAAACCTGGTTCAGGCCCTTCGGAGCAGCACGAAGGACACCAGTCTTGAGGACATGAGCCCAGTCGGATGAGGGGAAGTTACCCAGAGCTGGACGGTTGATCAGGGCGCAGGACATCTCGGCCGATGCGGCAATCTTCTGGAGGTGTGGGTTGTTGTATCCAACAGGGATGGAAGCAATCTGAGCATACCTGCTGGGGTCAGCTTCTCTATTTCCAATTGGCACTTATTTCTGTGACTTACACATCAAGGAGCTTGTTTCCGTCGAGATCAGCGATGCTAGCGGCGGGGTTAGTCGAGTCTTGATAGCGAGTTAAGGTCTTTCATACTAGTTTCCAACAGACTGAGTGTAGTCAGTCAACATGTTCAAGCTGCGAACATCGAAGACTTCGTCGAGCTCGGCGGCGGCGGCCTGGTTCTTAGGTCCGGGGATTGTCCCCGAGACGGAGGGAGCGGTAGGCTCATTGGGGAAGTATGACTTCTCCGCTGCACGCAGACCGGCAGTGGTAGAAAGAGCTCGAGCTGCCGGGAGGCGAGCTGCGGAGCGCAGCCGTGTGCTAGCACGGAAGACTGAGGACATTGTGATTTTGATGTGAATAAGAGTGGAGAGGAGCAGATGAATGGTGCGGGGAGGAGAAAAGCGGTCTAATGAGCTATCCTTTTGTGTAGTAGATACCCTGGTCGATCAATGCAGTCGGGTAGAAGAGAGCAACCGATGTAAGACAGATGTAGGACAGATGAAATAGAATGGAACACCAACAGGCGCGGGGTGGCTTTATACCAGGTGCAGCTGGAGAATGTTATCGGCCTTATCCTGGAGCTCAATAGCTTCTCCCCGCGTATATTGCTTTTGTGTCGGTGATATTGACCAATCGGGGGCTGTTCTCCACAACGAAACGCCGAGGATCCGATGGGGTATCTAGACGAATTGAGAAGGTCTACGCTGGTGGATTCTTGGTCAAATCTATATGGTAAGAGTTTTCATCAGAACTTCCAGGTGTGTTGTATTTATCTCTCGGTTGGGGCTCACACACAAAAGAAAAAGCCAATAAACTTGGAAGTCTTGTCGTCATGTCCCTGTTGTAGATCATTCCGGCATCTATGATAACATTCGAAGCTAATTATAGTCTTGGCATTTCTTATCTATAAATTATCTAGATGCGACCTCGGGGATCTTGGAAGGTCAAGGTGTAAGGGGGGGGTTTAGGGCTGGCCGAGGTTTATAGTGTTTAGCCCGCCAAAGCGCATTCATTTTTATTTGATAATGTATTGGCTTAATTGTATGGTCTTCTTATATAAAATGAGACTTTCAAGGTTTCTATGCATATGGCAATCTCAAAATATATATTGAAGGACGATCACGCTAAATATATACAACAATAGGCAAATACGTACGCAATGTATCAAGTTGGATTTGCATATTCTATTGCCTATGGATAGAAGAAACACGGAGAATACGTAGCGCATCATATAAAAGATTTCATGTACGCTGTTTGAGTGAATTTAATGTTCATTATCCACCAGCAAATACCTTTTGGCTTCTATTACACTATTCTCCACAACCAACCAATCAACTGGGCTTGTGGTTTAGTGGTATAATACTCCCTTAGCATGGGAGTGGTCCAGGGTTCGATTCCCTGCAAGTCCAGATCTTTTTTGCCTCCTTCATAATGAGGTAGAATTTTTTTTGTAAAAGTTCGTGTGTGTGATGCATTATTATCATGCTGGCTAGCGTTACACTGAAGTTTATATTTTTATTTTATATAAATTTGTAGAAAATTGGCATTGGGATAATGTGTAATTGTCCCAACCACGAAATAACCAAGGGTTTCATAACTTGGTTGAAGTGTGGTGCTAATAACGCCAAAGTCGAGGATCACCTCGAGTTGTCTTTTTTTGTTAGGATTCAATGGCAATGCCAATTTTTGGTATAACACCAATACTTTTTGTTGCATCATCTAGATGCCGTCAACAACTCTCGACGTACTAGCCTGAGGATGAAGATAGATGTCTTTTTATGCATACACTCTGTGTCTAGTTCTCCATTGTATTAGATCACTGCATTCTCATAACTATAACACAAGTATTAGGCCCCTTGTTGAAATAACCGGGGTCCGTTTAGTAAACAAGCAATTGGAGCCAAGTCTCAATATTCAATGTACAAGGCACATCGGCTTTGTGCGAAGTATCCCTTCTAGCGTAATAAAATCATACAGATTAAAGTGACATAAATGTTCATACAAAAAAAAGAAGAAAAGAAAAGAATGTACTAACACAGTGCGGTCAACGCGACTGCCGATCACCGAAAGGAGAATGCGTATCGCCCGGCCCAGACACAGAAGAGCCAGCACTTATAGGAGAGACATAAACCATGCTCCTCTTTATCTCAATGCTATCTGTAGGGGTCGGCGCGTGGCTGTGGTTATCGGAGGTAATATCATAATCATGGCCCATCTTATCATGGCTCGTAAGTCGTGACTCAGTCCAGCTCTCCATCTCGACGGTGCGCATAATCTCAAATCGATCGCTGCTAGAGGCAAGCTGGTGCGAGCCATCAGCAGCAAGACGGGATGCTCGAGAGCGACCGGTTGAATACCAGTGCTTGTTGGAGCGACTCCGTTGGTTGTAGGAGGAGCTAATGTTGCGCGTTGAGCTGAGGAGATGGGGTAGGAAGGCTGCGATGAGGGGACGGAGGGCCGGGGCCGAAGAGCAGATCTGTGGAGTATTAGCATTGAACATCTCAAGTAGCGAGACTTTTGATCTCTTACCAATCCTAAGCTGATTTCCACTGCGGCAGCGATCGGCACTGGCCATCCAAGCCAGGTCGCATCATAACCGGTCACCAAACTCTTCCACACATATACGGTTCGGACGGAGCCGGCTACGTTAACTATGACACCAAGGGCGAAGATGGAGATAACGGCGAGTCGTTGACGAGTGGGGAGTTTCAGACTCCAGATCAATGGCATTGGTAGAGTTGTGACCAAGAAATCGGTGAAGATGTTGATCACACTGGCGGAAAAGACAATCGCACCGGCATTCATGCAGTGATATGGCTCGGTAGGGCTAATTTGCCAGTATGCGCGGATAGGTCTATAGGAAACATTAGCAGTGGCCCGAGACCATCATGACACAAGACGACCCACTCACGAGCACTGAAAGATGCTGATTAAAGCGAACAACACACTTGAAGCCCCAACAAAAACAATGGCCAGAATAAACGTCCAGTTATACAACACGAAGTTGCCCTTCCCGAGGAGTCGTCGACAGAACCACAACAGAGAGATCTTGGTGAAGCTAGACGACAGCGAGAACAATATTTGGAAGCAAAGGTTCAGTTTCTGGATAGTGACGAGGTGCGACAATTCAATATCCCAGATATGGCGATTCATGCCAAAGTTTTCCGTGGCGATCGAAGTAACAGTGGCCATTGCGATGGCGAAAACCAGGCCGATGATAATCAGTACATCGTCAACACCGGCGCTGCATGTGATGCGGAGCCTGGTGTATAGACGGAGCGAGACGACCAGGAAGGCTAAGATGAGACAGATAATGTTCACGATAAGGACGCCATGCCCGCGTGTCGGAGGATCGACATAATTTGGGGTTGGCCACGAGCTCGCGATGGCTGCTGGAGGGAGCTTCATAATCTTATTCGTCCAAAGAAGGATACTGATATCAGAGGTACCAAAGCGGAAAGAAAATGCATATAGATAACCTGTCTAGGCAAGTGCCACCGCCATAATTCAAGTCAACAATGGAGAAAGTCGAAGATCAAGAAATAAAGAGAGTGAAGAGAGCCAACCCATGCGGCTATATTGCGTAGAGCATGGAAAAAAAAAATGTACACCCCACTAGGGGCATGGGGTAGATATAATTTGTACAAGGATGGTAGGCCGACTATAGAACCATAAGTAGGCCAAAGAACCTAGAATATTCCGAAGAAAACTACATATGATTCGAGAAAGAGAGAGATGCAGAATTTAGCGCCCGAGGAACAGACGAATATGGGAAAGGCCTCGTCATTTCCGAAGATGAGCCCTAGATACAAAATCAGAACAAGTCAACATCCCCTCTACGCCATATCGAAAATGGTAACACGGCCGAAAATTGGTGCAAAGTGGGATGCGGTGGGCAGCGATACGTAGATCTAGAGCCCCATAGTTCCCTCTTCGGCCCCACTGTGTCTTTGAGTCTGTGATCTAAGGCTTGTGAGAGGTTAAGTATGATAACGAGAGAGGGGGACCCCCCTGGCTCGCTTCAGGCACGAAAAACCATCAAATCATTGCATTGAATTGAGTGGAATAGAAAGTTAAAAGCACCGACCTCGTATATAAATGTACGATGTAACCCCTACGGAGATTTTTGCGCCCACATGTGGCCGATGTTGTCCCAAGGGGCCCGGGGCCCCGGGGTAAGCCGAGGCTTACTAGGCCATTAAATTATGAGGGTTTGAATCGCTTTCTATCTACTATATTGTAGAAATAGTGACAATTAAAAACGGATTCTAATGGAATAAAAGGATTAATAATATGTAGTTTGTAGGGAGTACAGAGTAGTTCATCGAGGATGCGGGGGGAGGTCACCTTTTGTATTCCCTTTCTCCACTTTCGCGCTATATTAATGCAATATGTATCATTTAACCCTATGGGAGGCGTTTGAGATAAAGCCCCCTGACACGTGTAAAACGGATAGACCGAGAAACCAAAACGCACAGGCGCCTTTTTGCCCGCTAATTTTCCGTTTAGCTATTTACCTTTTTATAGCACGCAAAATTAAGACTCTCAAACTTAATTGTGATCTACGAAGTAGATAGAAAACCTAGTTGCAGTTAAATTTGAATGATGGTTGAAGATCATTAAACATACATTAACAGACCCTTCGTCTCATCTTCGGAGACTCAGCCCCCAAACGATCAACAATTCTCTCAAATAGTCGAGCTGCTCCCCTGCCAACTGAAAATACTATAAGGCGGTTTATTGACAGCCCAAATTAATTGACAGGAATAATTTTGAGTTTTCTGAGAGATCACGTATTCTGTTGATTTGAGGTTCTTGATAGGTCTAATAGTTAGTACTCAAAATGAAGATCAAATGATGACAACAGCATAATCTCCAAAGTATGACACTGGCCATGATCTCTAGTGACCGTAGATAAACCCTCTATACCAGGATATTGGGTGTACATGTTAAGTTCCGCGTCACAACAGGTTTAGTAACAGCAATAGGAGAAACCTTGGAATAATCTCACAGCTGTTCTGAAGTTGATAGCACCTCCAATGGTCCTCTTTCATTGATATAACTAGACCTTGATATACCCCGGGAAAGGGAATTATTGGCAAATATAAAAAATGAAGCAAGGAACGAGAAGCAAGAAACAAAAGACGGCTGAATGCCTACGAAAGCAGGGAACTCATGTATGTAATCTATCTCTATGCATCAAGGGTAGAAAGGAAGGACTTGTATATGCAAAACTAAGATGCACGTAAAGCAAATATAATCTTTATCCCTTTTTACTCTACCGCTTGGTGTCCTTGTTTGTGTCCAGGGCTACCTCCGAGTTTTACAAAAACCCTCTAGTAGCAACAAACCAAGTGCACCAGGTGAGAGTCTAGAAACAATTAGAGGGAGTTCCTTGTATATAAATCTAAAGGAATGGGTATAGAAACAGCCATGGAACAGTGCACCGCAACACTGGGTCTAATATATGAGGCAGCACAACGCGCTATGGTTCTAAGAGGCTATTTGAGATAAAGTACATAGACTTGTAGCTATCCGGGTATTAAACAGCGGCCGAATATGCATGCTTACCTGACCACAGAGCCATTATTGGACAAATATATGCCATGAATTTTACTGGACAGCCCAATAATCGACAGGACCCTGGACCATTGCAGCTACTCTCAACACTTCAAGATTTCAACAGCATATCTTTTGGGCCCAGCAGCCACAAAATAAACGGGTCATATGATAGCCTTGGAAATTGCGGGGATTTTTGATTGGGGATATGCTTTTATACCACGCTCTAAAGTGGTGCAACCTTCTCGTAACTTGAGCCATCTTCCAGACCCCTCGTGTGTTTCTTTGCTGACTGCATGAGCTGAAACAATTCGATCCAAATCCCTTGCCAATGCTTGTGTTCGAAGCTTCCATTTTTAATGTCTTCAGTTAAGCCTTGGTCCTTTGCCTGATGGCGTTGTATCTATAACGGCACACACAGACCTATTGAGACAATAGCCCTAAGTATGCTCAGAATACAGGGTCAGGGGTAAACGGGAGCAGGGTACTAGGGAAGATGGATGTATTGTTATATCTGTAGTACCTCCACGCTCACACAAAGGGTCACCGTGGCTGCCATTAAGTTAATGGAGGTCTTTGGTCTGACAACCACTCCATCAATATTTGCTGTATAGTTAGGTAAATCACGTAGATGCGTACATAATCCAAAGCGTTTTTCAAGTTTCTGTTCATATATAGACTGCCATCTGAATTTATCCTTGCTCTTTCAGTTTGCTCGTCATCCATCATAATCTTTTCTCTTCCACTCTCCACCTTCTCAAATTTCCCATATCCAGAGCTCGATTACCTCTCATCAACTCTTGCAATAATATTCAACCACAGTCTATTTGATTCGCTTTTATCCATCAAGGGAGAGCTTCAACTCATTAAAAATGCCCGATCCAACGGGAAATGACGCGGTTGGGAGGTATGTAACCACACAATGACTACTATGCTATCCCAAGACCTGGTACTGACGATTCAATTAGAATGACCGAGAATGTTACTGGGGAGTGAGTAGATGATTGAAGTGACTCTTTTTGTCAGGTCAAACTGATATGCAATAGGATAAAAAACCCCCTCGCCGGCATCCCCCATGATCAGCTCATGGCAAATGTGACGGCTTATGCCACTGAATATGACCTTGAGCCTATCTTGCCACTCTTGAAGAAAGGGGCTCTGGTAGCTCAGTCTCCAGCGGTGATTGAAGGAATCTTGGAACTAAATGATGATGACCGCCGTGTCCTTTACGAGGAGCACACTCGGCGCTGGAAGCAGCCATTTGCGCTGTACTACACCATCATCCTGAACTCGGTTTCAGCAGCCATTCAAGGCTGGGATCAGACTGGTCAGAATAATCCCCTGTTCAAGTATACAGGACCAGACTTGGCTGATTCTTTTCATAGGCTCGAACGGTGCTAACCTGACCTTCGATGTCCAATTTGGTATCCCAAATAACTCTCCTCAATGCCCTGACCCGGAGACTTGCAAGCGGAACCAGTGGATTGTCGGTTTTATCAATGCGACTCCATACATTACGATCTGTCTATTGTAAGTAATATACTTGCTCTGCGTCCAATCAATATTCTGACGGGTATGTTACTCTACAGTGTTGCTTGGCTATCTGATCCCCTGAACCATATTCTCGGCCGTCGTGGCACAATCTTCCTGGCCGCAATCTTCAGTCTCCTAGCCCCCCTGGGCTCCGGTTTTACTCAGCATTGGGGTCAGCTCGTTGCTTGTCGTGTTCTTCTCGGACTTGGCATGGGTCTCAAGGAAGTCACTGTTCCTGTCTACTCAGCCGGTAAGTGCTTTTGATCTCTACATCTCAGACTGTTATGAGTATCATAACGAGGCTAACCCAAATAGAAAACGCACCCACAAACATTCGTGGCGGCCTGGTTATGTCATGGCAGCTTTGGACGGCCTTCGGTATCTTCCTCGGAACGTGCGCGAACCTTGCTGTGGCCAACACTGGTGATATTGCTTGGCGACTACAGCTAGGATCTGCATTTATTCCAGCTGTGCCATTGCTTCTTGGAATCTGGTTTTGTCCCGAGTCTCCACGATGGCTTATGACCAAGAAAAACCATAAGAAAGCCTTTGCGTCTCTTCTCAAACTGCGGAATAGCCCTTTGCAGGCCGCTAGAGATTTGTATCGGATCCATGCCCAGCTGGAGGTGGAGAGGCAGTTGATTGTCGAATCGGGTTTCTCCAAGAGTGATAACATGTTCGTTCGCTTTGTGGAATTGTTTAGCGTGCCCCGTCTGCGTCGTGCTGTCCAAGCCTCTGGAATTGTGATGATCGCCCAGCAGATGTGTGGAAGTAAGTACAAAATTCGAGATAAGGGAAGAACTATACTAATTATATCCTCGCTTTCTAGTCAATATCATCTCGTTCTACTCCTCCACTATCTTCCAACTGGCCGGCGCGGATAACATTGAAGCACTTCTTGCATCATTCGGGTTCGGCCTGATCAATTTCGTGTTTGCCTGGCCAGCCGTGTGGACAATCGATACATTTGGCAGACGAGGTCTGCTACTTTTCACCTTCCCACAGATGTGCTGGACACTTCTTGCAGCTGGGTTCTGTTTCTGGATTCCAGCAAGTAGTAATGCGCACATTGGAATGATTGCATTCTTCGTTTACCTCTTTGACGCCTTTTATTCTCCTGGGGAGGGACCTGTTCCGTTCACCTACTCTGCCGAGGTGTTTCCGCTGTCTCACCGCGAAGTTGGAATGGCCTGGGCGGTTGCGACCAATAACTTCTGGGCTGCTGTTCTCTCGCTGACCTTCCCATGGATGTTGCGAGCATTTACTCCACAGGGTGCCTTTGGATTCTATGCTGGCTTGAATCTGGTTGCATTTGCTTTAATATTCTTCTTCATGCCAGAAACCATGCAGCGCTCGCTTGAGGAACTGGACTATGTGTTTGGCGTCCCGACCCGAACTCACGCCAAATACCAACTTACTCAGGTTCTCCCATGGTGGATTAAAAGGTATGTCCTAATGCGCAAGGATGCGGTCTGCCCTGAGCTCTACCAGGGCGCCCAGGATTACGCGACAGCTCCCGTGGTGACCGAGAAGCATGCCCAGCTCGATGAGAATGAGCGTCACGCCGAACATGTTTAATCGCAGTTCAAGATGCAATTCATGATCTATAAGATCAGGCTACTGCTGCTTTTCTCGTATTGGTATGCTTATGGGATTTTATTTCCCGTGGATTTCAGATGGGGAGGTTCGCTCAATTAGGGCTGAACTATGACCATCTTTGCCACTTTATCCTCAGTTCCTTTAACTTAGTACTTCAATCAATTTTACTCAATATTCTTCATTCCACCTTCACGATTCTATGTAGTATTGGCCACAACTAGAAATGTCCTATTCTTTTCTCCGCCTCATTGCAAGCAAAACCCACTCTTCTCGCAAATTGTTCAACCTCCATATCCCTTGTTATGTGAAGCCAAACTCCTCTGCTCGTCGTACAGGTATTACAGAGGTGGGAATTGATAAAGTCGAGATTTCCGTGGCTGCTGTTCCACGCGACGGGGCAGCTAATATTGCAGTGTCGCACATATTCGCAGAGGTGGGAATTACCCTCGATACGTTTTCTTGCTTTGCATCTTGTCTATGCAACAAAGCCACATAGTTTGACCTGACCATTCATTAGATCTTTAAAGTTCCAAAATCGAGTGTGGAAGTTATTCGTGGTGTGAAATCACGAGAGAAAACGTTGTGTGTGGCTGATCTGGAGATCGGAGACGACGGCGAAGAAGCATACCTGCAGCGTGCAACACAAATATTAAAAGCCGCTGTCAAGACACGAAACTCCTAGCATGAAATTCGAATCTCCAACCTATTGATTCCCACGCGTTGTGTCACATTTTTGACGCAACTCGATTATTGTTTGATCCCGTGACGCAAAATCCCGTCGCTGTTTTTTTGGGAGCTCCGGCCGAACACCAACCTCCGACCACACCGAACAGTTCAGGAAACCAGCCAAGATGACGGAGAATACACAGGGCGACATGGAAATTGAAACAAATGTCCCTTTAACGGAACCTGCTAAGCGCAAAGCGCCGGAGTCAAAGCCAAAAACTATCCATTTCACGTCGCGTAATCCACCCTGGACATACCTCAAGCTCAAGCTGTAAGCTATCACTTTTCTTCGTTCGCCTTCAGACAGGAAAGCTCGGTCAGAAATCAAGCTAACCTTGAAATACTAGTGTACCTCAACCAGGAAGCGCACCACAACCCCTTGATCCCCTCTCCGCACGAACCTACCTCTCCTCCGCATTATCACAATTCCTCGGCCTGACAGGCACAGCTATTCCGATCGACATCCTGAAGATCGAGAATACATCCTCCTCAACTACGAAGCACGATATAGTATGGATTCGCGTTCCTCGCGAGGATGCCTCAGCCGTAGTAAGCGCAGTGAGCTCATGGATTGGCGGCGGAAATAATTCGGCAGGCTCTACGGATGTTGCATGGAGGGTTTGTGCCAAAGGAAACTTCCTAGGCGCTCTGATTGCCGGCTCTGGGGCCGACTTGTTCGTGCCATAGCCTGATGGGTTGTACTCCTGCTTCAAAACGAGTACTTTGGGAAATAATTACCGAACTATGGCTAGTCTATATGTTTGACCCTTTGTCAAATGATTGCCCTCATGTCCCTTGTGTCATGGCTGGGCACATGCGACTTTTGTCGCAATGCACGTGTGTGATCGTGCATACTGCATGGAACTAGTGGCATGACATGGTGTAGCTGCAGGGCTGCTGCAGTATCCACCCCACGATACATGCGACGACGATGCTAGCTCCGAGTAACGAGATTGACTCAGTTGAATACCGTGGAGCCTAGCAACAGTCGAGTGTGCCCAAGGCTTCATGGGATGGAATGAGACAAAGGAACTTGGCCTATATTGGCGAGTGAAGGCATATACCCTTTTTGGCAACTTTGTTTGCAACCAGGAAAAAAGGAATCGATTTTGGAGTCAATACCAATCTATGTACTCGACCACAAGACAAACGAACTCCTTTTTTGGTTCCATTTGGAGACAACATGGCTCAAATAAAACGCCGTAACTCACACGCTGCTCAATATATCACAAACAATTTTGATGCCGCTGATTTAAATGCACAATTAATTCTCACTCCCTGCCAACAATATGAGGACGTTTCGTATCTCTCCCTGATTGTTGGTAACAAATTGAATTTGCAAGATCAAACCGATGATCCAGTGGTTTTGGGGCGGATGTTTTCCACAATTGTTGATGTATCTGAAGCCGTGACTGACGGACTGGCAACCATCTTGGTTCTGAGTGCACCACGAATATCCTCGACGGTCCGCTCTTTCCAGTCAGGGTATCCCAACTGGCTAAGGGGGAATAAAACAAGGTTTTCAGCGCGCGACATGAAGTCATTGACGTTTGGTCGAGGAACGGCAGTCATGATATCCATTTCCACGGCGATCTGTCGGCAGTAGGTGTCAAGTGGAAGATCATTAACATCATGACCGAAGGGGTTCTCAATTTCACTACCGATTGTAGCCAAGCCGAGGATGATATAGCCAGCCACTTTGGGATCCGTTAGAATTGCTCTTGTATTTGTGTAAGTGAAATAATTCAATGTTTCTTACCAATTGATGCTGGGATGGTGATCCACGTCAAGGCATTGTAGAGCTGGAATGGAAGTACCAGGATGTAGATCCATGCAATTTGAGCAATGGCAATACTGTATGCAGTGGGCAAGGGGGTATCCAGTACACGTTCTGTGCCGGTCAAAACCTCATTCAAGGTAGACATCATGGTGACTTTTGTTGGGTCAGAGTTAGAGCATCACAAGATAGGGTATTGAAGACTTACTGGCTTGTCCCTGGTGCAGAGTTGACGCCAAAGTACCATTGGCTACACATGAATCGATATATGCGGAAAGATGGTTAAGAATCTCCAGGGGCAAATGTCCAAGAGGCTTCTTTGACCGCTTGATGTACTTCCGAGGGTTTGACTCGGCAAATGACACACCAAGGTACTCTCCTGTGGACTTCCAAAAAGATTTAGGCGGAGGATTGACGACATTGCGGTCGTGGGCGTCACGGGCGAAAGTGTCAAGGTGTCCAGCAAGACCAGCCAGATCTTCGTATGCAATGTCGGGTTCGAAGCGCAGCTTGTGTTTAAGGGCGACGGCAAAGGCCAAAATGAGGTTCAGCGCAGAGCTACAAAGAGCATATTAGAATCAACAATATCAAGATACAGTGCCCTGAGATATTGCATACAGTTTTCTCAAGATGTCTTCTTTTCCGTCTTCGCCCTCTCTCTCGCCGGTATTGATCCAAATTGTACGAGAGAGGTTGCGAGATGTCTGAATGAGCTGGGCCCAGTATTTGCGCCCGTCTGCCCATCTATAGTGCAGGGAGAGTTAGTGTATGACTCGAGTCAAAGTCAAAACTAAAAGCGAAGTGATAGTATACCTCTCATATGCAGTTGAGCTGCGGAATGACAAAGCCAAACCCACCACGAAACCCAGCACGGTGAGCAGAATGTTGTTGATACCAACTTGTTAGAGTTAGAAAATAATTCCAATCTATTCCTTGATCCATCAATTGGAGACTACTCACGGTTATGGACCTGATTTGAAAAGACAGTAACAGCGGTCGACCAAATAGCGATAGTGAAAATCGGCATGATCATTTTCGGCATGATACTACCATGCATTCGCAGCATGATGGGCCACTTGGAGTGTTTGTCCATGTTCCGGGGGCCATGCTAGACAAAGAATATGTTAGCCTGCCAATCTATTATGCTTAACACCTCGCAATTCCCTTACAAAGTATCGCTCTAATTCACTCGAATCCCGTCGATCAAGCTGAAATTGCGAGTCTCGCGAAGTAGCTAGATGTTCCAAGAATGTTGGCCGAGGAGTTATACGTCCAACGGAGGAGTCCTGCTCCTTCTCATGGGTCGGTGCCGCGCAATGAGGGGCGGCGTGCGAGCGTACATCGGCAGGGACTGGTGCAGCAGCACAGTCTGCCGCTGCCGCTGGTGCCGGAGCATCGGCTGGAGGGGCACTGTGGCCGTCGGTCATGACGAGACAACAAAGGATAGAAAAGAAATAATAAAAAAGAAAGTGAATAAAGCCGGAACTGGGCCGGTTCTGATCTCAATAGATTTGACTAAAAAAAAAAGAAAGGAAAGAGACAAGCGAAAGTACGAAGTGGAATATAGAAGAAGAAGAGTAAAAGCCGAAATACGAAGAAAATGTAAGAAAAGCAGGGGAAGTAAAAGTGAAACGCGGGCGTTCGCTTGACAGGGGGCGTTTCATCGGGATCTAGACTGAGGTGGAGACGACGGACACGTCCGCATGTTTAATTTTAGCCCTTCAGGGGAAATTTTCTATTGTAATTCTATTGGTCTATGCAGATTTCATGGGGAATTGCCCATAAATTGGTTGGATCGCGATTGAGTTAGGGTTAACACTACAGATCAGATTTGACCCTTCTAAGTGTACTCCGTACGGAGTAGAACGTTGAAGATTGCCAATGGCTGGGCACATCAGACCTGTTATATATAAAAGAAAAAACAGCAACAAGAAAATATGGATAAAATTTGAAACTACGGTGTGAATTGTCATCTACGAGATTTTTCAAGTGCTCCAGTGTGCTCCGTCAGTACACTCTTAGGATATATGTTGTAGTTTGAACCCCAGCATTTAACTAGTATAATTTCAAGGTTAAAATTCTTTGCAACTAATTGATGAACCAAGTCCACAAGTCTACTTATATTCGGAGTCCGTACTTTATAACTCGTATAAAGTGGTACTACGGAGGACTACGGATGTAATACTACTAAGTATACCTCACCGTATACGGAGTTCTCCGTACTTATATTAATTCCTTCCGGAAAAGGTGAGGGCTTGAACACGCTAATCCAAGAAAGGAAAAGGATCCGTTTCGGATGACCCCTGTTTTTCCCGAGCCTCGTCCTTTTGCTTCCAGGGTTTTTTCACTTTACGTGAGTCATGCAACATAGAGAAATGGAACAAAAGTCAGTCGAAACATTACTCAATTTAGATGAGATTGAATATGCTGCCACTAAAATAGTGAGTAAGAAGGCATGGGCCTATTATTACTCGGCATGCGACGACAAGATCAGCAAGCACAAAAACACTGAGGCCTTCCGCTCCATTCAATTAAGGCCAAAAGTTTTTGTCGACTGCACCGAGTGCGATTTAAACACAAAATTGTTAGACAACCCTGTGTCCATCCCAATTTATGTGTCCCCAGCAGCTATGGCCCGGCTAGGGCACCCCTCTGGTGAAGCTGGAATCGCAGAGGCATGTCGCAGCTTTGGTGCTTTGCAGATCATTTCAAATAGTGCGTCCATGACACCTGAGCAGATTGTTGCGGGCGCCGCCCCAGACCAAGTCTTTGGTTGGCAGCTATATGTACAGAACGATCGAACCAAGAGCGAGCGGATGCTGGCTCGAATCAACAAATTGACTGCAATCAAATTTATTGTTCTGACACTGGATTCTCCCGTGACCGGCAAAAGAGAGGACGACGAACGCAGCGGCAATGTCATCAGTTCTGAGGCTCCGTATCAGTCTGACAACAATGATACGGGACCAATCATCCAGGCTGCAGACCCGGTATTCAAGGGAATGGATCCTTCTCTTACATGGAAAGAGACCCTCGGGTGGTTGGCAAAGCACACCGATCTTCCGGTTGTACTCAAAGGCATTCAGACACACGAAGATGCGTATATTGCCGCACAATATACGCCTCAAGTCAAAGGAATAATCCTTTCAAACCACGGTGGTCGTTCTCTTGACACGGCTCCTCCTGCTGTGCACACCCTGCTCGAGATCCGGAAATACTGCCCCGAGGTTTTCGACAAGATTGAAGTCTGGGTCGATGGCGGGATCAAGAGAGGAACTGATGTGGTCAAGGCTCTTTGTTTGGGTGCACGAGGCGTTGGAATAGGAAGAGCTGCGCTCTGGGGCTTGGGTGCTGGAGGTGTGGCCGGCGTAAAGAGAACATTGCAAAGTATGAGCGGCGAAAATTAAGGCTTTCTGCGAAGTGGTTTGCTAACAGAGCTTAGTATTGACTGACGAGACCAAAACATGCATGCGACTTCTTGGGGCGAAGAGTATTGATGAGCTCGGAAAACAACACGTAAGTCTGCATTTGTGTCCTGGCTGTTGGTTTGGAACCTTCGACTCCAAGTGAACTGACCAAGATGTTCGTCTAGATAAACACTCGACTAGTAGAGAAACAGATCTACGATGGGCCGTCTGGTCTCGAAGCCTGTCGGGCAAGTTGCCGGTCAAAATTGTAGAAGGAATACTTCAAATTGCCACAGGGAAATAGGACCAATGAGAGAAAAACCTTTTGTATTGCTATCGGGTGGTTTGACCCATCTCTACGTAGATTTCGTCTTAGCATTTAGTCTGCCCCCAGACGTTCCCTGTCTCTTTTCTGCAAAGTCTGGTTGGAATCAAGGACCTTCAGATGGTGAGGCCTCGCAGCTCTTACATTCCATATTCCATATTCCATATTCCATATGAGGATTTGAACCTTCGTCTCATCTCGCTCCCACGTGCTTTTCGCCTCGTCCCCTCGTCCCGTCTCGTTTCGTTCATTTTTACTTGTTCTTACATTTCGTCTACTCATTGTTCACTTATCTACCCTCGCTCTACCTCTTGACTACACCAGCTTGCTCGACAACGATACCATCATGTCTTCACGATGTCTGACCGACCTCCCTCTCGAGATGTTCTGGCTCGTTGTGGAGAACCTTGATTGTGAGAAAGACATCAACGCTCTATCACAAGTGAGTCGTGGTATTTACGTTCTCCTCAACCCGTATCTTTATCGCAAGAACGTCTACAACGATGAAAATTCTGCTCTTGCTTGGGGAGCCTATCACGGCCAAGAAGCCACTGTTCGAAAAGCCTTGGAGCAGGGTGCCTGGCTAGAGTTTAATTGCGAAGATTTACCAGAACCCATAACACTTGCAGCAATTGGCGGTCATGCGAATATTGTCAAGCTCCTTCTCGATCATGGAGTCGACCCGGTGTCTGCATACGGAAATGACCGGGATGGTAAAGTGCCGATGGACTTTGTGGATTGGGTCTATGTGGGTGCTGAGTTAATTGCAATGCCGGACTGCCCCCCTGGACAGCGGCACTCGCAAGAGACCATGCGGAAGTCCTACAAGTCTTGATTGAGGATGGTGGATTTGTGCCGCGCGCCTGGGATTTTTTCAACACTGCCTGTGATCGCTTTTTTGAGAGCCTCAAAGTTCTCGTGAGAGCCTGTCCCCAATGGGCAGAGCTTGCTCAATCCGAGTACTCCGATATACTAGGAATAACAATTGATGGATCAGCAGCTAGCGTGAATATCGCGCGCTTTCTGATCGATTCCGGATCCCCAGTCAACTGTGGAGGCAATTATCAAGACAACCCGTTGGACTTAGCCGCGCATTATGGCAATATTGAGATGGTGAAACTGTTGCTCAGCCGTGGAGCTGACCCAGACCTTGAAACTCCACTGTGGTCGCTAAGGTGTGCGGCAGAGCGCGGACATGTGAAGGTTGCAGAACTGCTGTTGGAAAATATTGACATACAAAGCAAAATTACTGGTGGTGGAGATGACCAGTTTTGGCTACTTTACTCAGCAGCGGCATGTGGCTTTGAGAAGATTGTGCGAGCCTGTTTGAATGCCGTATGTGATGCAAATCGCAGACTGGATGTACAGTACTGCCCTTTCCACGTGGATGATACCTGCCGAACATCTGACGGCCGGTATAAGTTGACGCCATTAGACTGGGCACGTGGAAGAAGTCACTCTGCAGTTGTGCGTCTTCTTGAGAATGAAGCACTAGCTTCGTGATATTTCTCTGTACTAATACAAAACAAATACGATGATAACATGGTTGAATTTCTCCCAACTTCTACGGGGTTTACCATGTTGGAACTTTCACACATTTATGTAGTACATATGACTGAGTTGTGGATATTGTAAATGTCAGATGTATTATCTAGAACAAAATAGCACTGTCCAAGCTGGAGAATCCTGCAGCTACGCCACCTTCATTCACCTCTTTTCCCTTAGTCCTCAATAGATATCCGCCTTGTTCATTGTGCAAGATTTTTCCAGTATTCTCCCAAAGAATGGTACCATAGACACCAAGCTCTGAGATGACGTTTCCTCTTAAAACCTCACCGTCGTTCCGCAAGGCAACATTCTGCGCATTGGGTGCGGGGTTGATGAGTTCCATAAGCACCCAGCCTCTCCAATCAGATTCTGGCATAGATCGCAAAAAGTCTGGAATATCGGATTTATAGACATTGTTGCCACCTCCTTCACGCTGTGGTTTGAGCACATGGTTCAGGGCTGTATCTGGATTGAGGGCTAGATCGCGACCTTGGCTGTTAACCGACAGGTCATATTGCGGAGCGAAGGTATCCCGAACTCTTTCAACAAGCGTAGTGTCAATTCCCTTCAAGAAGTTTGAGAGATGGTCTGGTCCTGTTGGCTCTGCTAAGACTTGCTGGACTTTCTTGCAGCCAGATAGCTGATTAAGCACCGTGGGACACTTGATCGCCGCCGAGCGCTCCAGATGGGTTCGGGCTAGCCAGTCGCGATCGGATTTGTACTCATCTGGTGCATAATAAGCTCGGAGATAAACTGTTGTTACCTCGAAGGTTGAATCGGGAGAATGAGGGGGCTGGTATAACAATGGTCGCGAGGAGTTTGAGCTGGGAATGGATGTCTGATCCAAGACATCCACACTGGCCACACGGAAGACAGGGATTTTGTGAACTGTCTTGAGTTGGCTCGAGAGTGCATGCTGATCAAAAACGTTCCGCTCTGTCTCCTGAACTATGAAGAGAACGCAAAGAGGGAGGGCCGGGGTGGATTTGGACACGCCGTAGGCCTCATGGGCTGCTGCCAAACCTGCCGAGAGGGTTTCAACTGCAGTGTTTTCTGGTGGAACCTCGGATTGTAGCAGAGGATGGGGCGGATAGTTGATTGATGAACCTGGCGGCGAGGCAAGAAGCTCAGTGTGCATTTGTCGCACAAGAGCTGAAAGTCCTCCAAAAGATGACGAGATCGTGTTAAATTCAACTTGCTTTAGAGCCGGTGCACCTGTAGGCAGAATATGGGCCATGTAATCGGACCGAAAGAGGCCCAGTGACAAGTTTTGAACATATCCCTCCTTTTGCACGTCCAGATGAACCTTCCACAAGTTCGACATAAAGTCATCAACTTCAATGAGCCTGTATATAACCAATTATTAGCAATGAGCCGTGCTAGAACAGATATGTCCCTACCCTTCGACGATCTTCCCTAGCCATTCTTCATTACATGTGATCATAGCGTAAAGTTTGTTGTAGATCTCTTGGAGAGCAGTCGCTTCCTCGAAGCAACTTCTGGGAAACGGACTGGGGAACAACGTTACTGGCGCATTTGTAGCCAGCACCCCATTTGAATCTGTTCCAGTTGGGATAATTGCTGGGGATGGTCGAACAGCAAGACCATTTTGAATAGCCCAATCTTTCACAGATGTCACAAGAAACTTTTGCTGAGCTGGGGACAGGTCTGGCGGATAGTTTGAATAAATTGATTCTGCCATATTTCTAGTGAGAGAGAATTGATTTACTAGGACACTCAATGACCTTCCCAAGTTAGACTTTTCAAAGATTCCAACCTCGCCGAAGCTGCGAGGGCAACCTGGGAATTCTGGGGATTTGTAATTGGCGGGGCATTAGTTGACACCTGAGGCAGAAATACAGGACGCGAACGCGACCGCCTAGATCTCCCGCCTTCCGTTTTGAGAGAGTGATTCCCCTGTTCCTGCTCACCGCCTATGAAAATGCTGGCACAAAAACAGAGCTTCACGGATAACAAAGATTGGGAAAGAAGAGGGTTGGGGACGTGGATGTTTTATTTTGACTGATGTCCCCTCTTTTCTCTTCCTTCTCTTCTTTTCTCTCTTTTCCTCCCACCCAAACTGTCTTTCATTTTCTCACTCACTTAGCTTTGACATATCTTTTATGTCAATGCCTCATTGTCACCTTTCATTGTACTCGACTCTTACATAGTACTTGCATCTGCGCTGGCTTTACTTCTGCCTTGAATTGGGGGGCTTGATATGGTAAGTTGGTCCCAGACCTGTCCCTTGCCCAGTCGTATCTTCGAGACGAATGCGCGCCTGGTATGTCTGAACCTACCACTAACTAGTACAGGCCCCCCCAGCAACCATGTCTTCAACAAAAGACCCTTGGGACTGGTCAATCGACGAGCTTGTCGCGTTTCTCTGTCATGACAAGCCCGGCGACTGGTCGTACAATTTGGCTTGCCCAGATCTCGTGGCTCTGGAAGGCTCGCTCCGAGAAAATTCCATCTCAGGCTTGAGTTTTCTCGCGATCACAGATGCTTATGTGAAAGAGCTAGGCGTCAAACCTATTGGGCAACGCCAGTATGTTCTGAAAGCCAGTCAATGGCTACAGCGACGATCGCCGAAGTTCCAATTGGATCAACAGCCGTTTCCTTCCAAAGCACTTCTCGGTGAACATCAACTTTCACCTGAACACCTCAATCATCCCATCAACAACAACCTCATTCCTGAAGATCCCATCACTGTCACTACTGCTAAAGATACCATCAATAATACCCCTCTTCTCCACGGCCCTTCATCGACTCAGACGGGAGGAAAGGGACCTCGCCGGATGGAGACCACTGTCATTGAACGACCACCCGCATCCTCTCTCCTGCAGACACGTTCACCTGAACCACCTATCTCAAATTCTGGCTTTGGGAGAGACGATTTTTTCGATTATCTTACCACAGCCTACCCCCTGGATGATGCAGATGTCCTCCCAGTCTATGGAGAATCCAGCGACGAGGGTGAATATGACACAGACACCCGCGAAGAAATGGAAGAGGATGAGGTTGAACCCCGCCCGGATACTTCTGGGGATCTGGGAATGGCTGAATACAATGCGATTATTGATGAATATATCAAAGAAAAGGATAAACATTGCGTCGAAAATCGGTTGCCAAAAGAGCAACCAAAAGCATTTCAGATTTGGAGGAGTGGTCAAAACCTCCCGAGTATGGAAAATAAAGCTTTGGCACGGCTCACCCACCTGGAGAAACGCTGTCAAGCCCTCCGCAAAGCACTTGTTGAGGCGCAACATTCATCCCGTTCATCTCTGCACCAAGCATGTGCATGCCTCGACCCCACTATAGTTGACATTTGCTTGGCTCGATGGAAGTTTTCCATTCTCAAGCAAACCACAGCCCCGCCAAAAGTTGATCGTCCACCACGCACCCCACGGGTATCAAAGCCCAATGTGAATTCAGACGGCGAAGAGACTCTGAGTTCGGATTCGGATTCCGTGCATAACACTGGAGACGAGATTCAAGATGAATCACCAGAACAATCAGAAGACGATCTTGATTTCGAAGGAGTTGAGATTTTACAGCACCAAGAGGAGCCACGCTCTCACGCAACTTATCGAGGACCGTTCTGTGAGTCCTCAGATGAGGATGTGAGCCATCTCCTCGATGAAGAAGAGAAAAAACTCCCAGCCGCTAAAAGGCGCCGCCTACAGAACAACAGCGCCCACCAAGACAATCGAACGTCACCACTGATGCCTATGACAACTCCGCTGTTTGGTCGGGACGTGGTGCTGTCCTTAGACGAGTGTGAAACAGAGGGTCAGATGGAGACAATGGCCCGTCTAGTTAACCCGATGCACCTCAACACACATGATGAACCTGTTGTCTCGGCGAGTGACAGCAGCGACACCGACGAGGCTGTGTGTATTTTTGACGATGTTTATTCTTTGACGTGGGCAGCTATTGAGGAGAGTGGAAACCGATTTCACCTGGTAGCGAAAGCCCTCATAGTTCTGCAAAACGATCGAATCAACCAACTTTGCAAGTTTCTCGGGTTTTACATGTCCTCCTCGTATCGAGAATTCGCCCGAGAGGCGCTGAAACACATGTCTGAAGATTCAACAGTGATCAAAGGATGGGATCCCGAGGAGAGCTTTGCTGCAATGTTAATGACCACCTTGTTCGTGTCGTGGGTCAATGTCATGCAAATTCCTCATGACGCCTTTGCAGTAAAAGATGTCAAGGCTGCACTTGCCTCTGTCGGAGATGACCTTGATGAAGACCAATTCGCGCCATTCTTCAAATGCTTGGGTAATCTTCTCAGGGGATACAGAAAATGGTTGACCTCATCATCTCGTGTCCAACCCCATGAGAAGAAACTCACTCAGCACCAGTCATCCAGGCGCAAGATGGCGGCCGTCTCGGTGACTCTCAATCGGGCTCAAAAGGATGGCCAGCAACGACAGGCAAATCAAGATGAGGCCAAACGGGCCCTCCGATCCCGAGTTGACTATGAGGAAATACCTGCAAAGCCAGTTTCGTTCCGGGATCCTGTCATTCAGCTTGATCCATATATCGGCAGCTTGATCCAGCCACATCAGCTCCATGGTGTTCAGTTCATGTTCCGGGAAATTGTCGAGAACATACAACCAGAAGGGTGTTTGCTAGCCCACACGATGGGGCTGGGCAAGACCATGCAAGTGTAAGTTTTGGTAATTGACTGACTTATTGGGGCTCGGCTAATTCTTGTATAGGATATCACTTTTAGTCACCATTTCCACTGCTGGGGCATCGCAAGATCCGGCCATTCGAGCCCAAATCCCAGAAGAATTACGACGACTCAAAGCTCTAATAATATGCCCAGCATCACTTGTTCAAAATTGGTGTACAGAGTTTGCAATATGGTCCCCTGACAACCACAATATGGGCAAGGTCCGCCCCATTACAGCAAAATCTTCGACCTCGAGCTCTGACCGAACTCAAGAGATTCGTGCGTGGAACAATGAAGGCGGTATTCTGATCGTCAGTTACGAAAACTTCCGCAATCTCGCTGGGAACAATGGGAGCCATGATGAAGATCCTGAAAAACAATTGATCGATGAATTTGTGAAGAGTTGCTTGCTGGAAAGCCCGAATCTCGTTGTGGCCGACGAAGCTCAGGTATTACGAAACAATACAACCAAGATTGCTCAGACAGCCTGCCGTATCCGCACCCGGAAACGGATTGCTCTGTCAGGGACTCCTCTATCCAATGGTTTGAAAGACTACTATTGGATGATTGATTGGGTTGCCCCCCGATACCTGGGAACCTTTGCTGATTTCAACGAACAATTCATCACGCCAATCGAAAATGGCTCGCATATTGAAAGTACCTGGCTTGACCGAAGAGATGCACTCCAGCGCCAGGAGCTGTTCTTCAGGATCATCGACCCAAAGGTACAGCGAGCGGACATGTCCGTACTGGCAGACAAATTGCCTCCCAAATACGAGTTCTCCGTTTACTTCGAGCTGACAAGCTTCCAAAAAGCTGCGTATAACCTCGTTGTTGAAGGTATACGACTGGGTAAGACTGAGAACGTGAGCCCGAAGCTCATGTCCTGCCTGTTCCCTATCAAGCTCTGCTGCCATCATCCAGTCCTTCTTAAGCAAAACCTGGAAGACCGAGCCACCAAAGGTGCACACAACAAACATAAAAGTCCCAGCGTTGATGATCATGGTCTTGATTCCAGTTTTGCTGCGGCCACCGAAGAAGTAACCCTTCCACGGTCGTCATTGTCCGAACTGGATGATCTGTTCAGCACAGTTCCTGACTTGCTGGATCCTAGCCTATCTAGTCGAGTGACGATCCTCAATGAGATAGTCAAGCAGGCAATCAAAGTCGGTGATAAGGTCCTGGTATTTTCATCCAGTGTTACAACATTGGAATACCTGGCGCAATTGATGGACAGAACGCAAAGGAAGTATTATCTACTTGATGGCACAGTGGCCGCAGTTGAGCGTCCTGAGATAATTCGCAAATTCAACAATGATCAGTCTATCCACGTGTTTCTTGTTTCAACAAGAGCTGGTGGCATTGGATTGAATATCCACGCAGCGAATCGAGTTGTCATTTTCGATTTCATGTTCAACCCTACATTCGAGGAGCAGGCAGTCGGACGTGCATACCGAATTGGACAAAAGAAATCGGTATTTGTATATCGATTGATTGCTGGCGGTACATATGAGGAGAAACTATACGCCAAAAATGTTTTCAAAAGTCAGCTTGCGTATCGTATAGTCGACAAAAAGAATCTGATCCGACAAGGGTCAAACTCAGACTCGACCTACCTCGCTTCCTACACTGAGAGTTCCCAACACGGTGGAATTGATGACACGGCCGTTGAAAAGGACCCAAAAGTAATGGAAGGGCTGAGGTCTTCAGAGTGTGCGCACTCAATTCTTTCCATCAAGCTCTCAAGCCAAGAGATAGATCCGCAAGATAGATTGACCGTTATAGAACGGCAATCCGTCGAAGACCAGCTTCATCTCAGGCGTTTACGGATTGCGTCTGTGCCGAGCTAGAGAGATGGTTTTTTTCTCTTCTCTTTTTGTCTTTTTCTTTCTGCTTTCTACTTTCTGTTTTCTGCTTTTGTTCGAGTGATACCCCTCTTTGTAACTGTTAAATGTTAGGCAATGAATGAGTATTTTGTAGCCATTCTCCTAGTAAACAAAGTTGTGACGTGGGCTAGTCCTGTAGGATATTCGGGTATGTATGTAGTAGTCCGTAGTCAAGGTTGCAGCGCCAAATTGTGTGCATCGAACATAAACCTATGCCAAAATGATGGTTTATCGGCCATTTGATGTTACGTTCTATTCTTATTCTACTTAACTTTCGATTATTGAGCTTACATGCACTCTAACTAGGAAGAGGTTTTCTTGCTCGGGTCTGTAATAGCTAAAGGTCACCTAGGATGAGCGTATCACGTCCGCGAAGGAAGAAAGCGGTGTTCTGAACGGGCCCTTGAGAGCACAGTGCCTTGTGTGATGGACTATGTCCTTGCATAGCGTGCAATGTTTCAAAAAGCGTCTTATGATTCTATTCTTTTGCTGGTGGCGCAGCTGATTAACCTTTGGAACGCGCTCCTCAGGTTAGCCCTGCCTAGGTGGCAGACTGCCACCTAGTTGACGCAAAGATTCTTTGGCAAATCTTGCCCATTGGTTTGGAATTGATTACACCTTGTTAAGAAAGAATAGAATGAAGTTGGCAGAGGTTCTCATGAAATGATATGATCAGGAGATATGAAGGAATCCTAAATCAACAAGAGCCACCGAGCCACCATTCGAATCATCCTATGTTTCCATTCCCCTCCTTGGTAGAATAAATATCCGATTTTTATATCAAAGCGTGGTAGAGGCCGGGTATAATCTAGAGGCCAGTTGAGTGTGGTGTTGGAGGTTGAGACGGACATGATGGAAATCGAGCTTCGTTCATGGGGAACTTACGATTTTGGCAAAATCGTAGTGAAACTGATATGGATATCTGATGCGAATTTGAGATTTGAAAAGTGGAAATCCATTTAGGAGACCGGAAATCATGAACAACTCATTGTAAAGGAGTAAGACATTTGAGGTATTGCCCAGATGACCTAGGAACATGCGAATGATGAGTTCAGTAAACATGAAACTCCAGAAATTCAAGTAACCAGTCTGAAGTACACCCGTGTGCCTTCCCTATCACATGGGGCACATGGGCTCCTTCCCCTATCCTCGTCACCCTCAGCCAGAAGGTAAATATAAATACCTGCCCCCTCCCACTTCTCTCTCTTCTTTTTTCTTCCTTCTTCAACCACTCCAGGTCCACTCTGTGGCTCCTGTTGAGTATTCTTTAATTTTTTGACCGGTTGTTCAGCTTCAGATTCATATTCAACATATGTCTACTGTTGTCCAGTGAAATGGGGGACCCTGAGGACTCTGGAGGGATTTCGATGGCGGCCCAGGCTAGGCTGTGAATGGCACGAAGCAAGTATACGCGGGCTACTGACCAGCTATCTTCGGATGCTTGATGGGCTTTTGCTATGACCTCTGCGGAAACAGACTGTACGTGTCTGGGTACTCCCGATCGCCGCCAGGAGCGGGTTAACAACCTTAGAAGGGGCTCTGCTCTCATCTCCTTCGCCCCAATTTTTGGAACCTATATTACAGAGATAGCTCTTTGTTATCTAGTGAAGAATTTTCTGAGGATGTTTCTTTTTTTCAAAGGTTCCACTTCATTTCATATTCTTGTTGTTGTCTTGTTGTCTTGTTGTCCCTATCTACCAATGTTCAACTCGGTAGATTTAACAATGAAGACCAAGTCAAACACCATAATGATCTTATAAATTCTAGATGTATGTTCGTAATGTATCACAAACAAAGTTGAGCCTATAATTATGGCTTGTTTCTTCATGCATAACACTCCCTCCAGCCTACATATGTACTTCACTCTTTGTAACATCCACAATTCCTTTATACTGTATCCCCACTACAGTTCAATATGCTCTTCTGCCTTATCACCCGGATCTGGATTTGTGTTTCAATCGAATTTACCTTAAGAATCATGGCTAATCTCCTATGCCTCACCCTTTGCATCTATGCTCGAGTTGGCATCTATTTCGGATTGAGGAGAGATGTTGAACTTTTGCGCTACCATAGTGAAGCTTTGTCAACAGACACGAAATAAGAAGTTTCAATAGTAGAGAAGTCCTTTGATTTGGGTCTATTAAAGTATAATTGATGTGTAGTTGGTACAAAATCGTAAAAGCCTTCGCTCACTTGCTTGCAAATATCTGAAGCCACCCGGTACTGCGTGAGTAGCTGCGTGTGAGAATGACCGGTTTGAATCATTCGCTCAAAGAGAAAGAGCTGTTCCATGCTGAAACATTCATTTTATCCTGGTTTCGAGCGCGTCTGTACCTCTCGTACAGCCTCACTTGTTTCGGTCCAGCTCAGTCCCACATAAACTACTAGTAAATCTTGCGAAATCTGCATGACTGGCTGGCGTACTCGCAATGTGCCAGTATAATGGGACCTGATTGAACTTATACGCAGGATTACGTGCTACTGGATTAGTTATGATATCATGAATTGGGGCTCAACGATCCTGTTCTTCGATCTGTAATGGTCGCAAAATGTCATGAATTGAGGTTTTTTTGTCTACATGTCCAAGGAAAAAGTGCTTGCGTCGACATCGCTTGAGCTAGAAAGGAGAATATCACAAGTCCTAAGTACAATACAATAACTGGGTACCAAAGCCTTAACTAGATCAGCTCCTCACTGTATTGCACTGCAGATTTCTCTCTTAGTCTACTTTTTAATACCATCTTTCACTCCAAACATCCTCTTACAGAACGTTTGGCAGACTGTCCAAATATATGAGTGTTAGCATGACACATAAGGAATATTATCCCAGTCGAGACAACATACACAGTTCTTACGATGTAGATTGGCGGTTGAGCAGCAATATTTAGACATCGTCTTTATGGCGACGCGGACGCGAACAACCCTTCGCTGCTGGACGGTGTCAATTGGTGAGTGTGGACAAGACATCTTCCTGTGACGTTTTCAATATCTGTCGTCTGTGGAGGAGTCCGTCTTGTGATTTCGCAAGACCCATTTTCACAAGGACGCACTCTGAACGGTGGACCGAAGCACGAGCATAGTTGATAAGACTTTTGCTTCCAATGACACATCTGCAATTGGTATTAGTACGTGTACGGACGTACCGAGGATCAATACGTTTAAAAGACCTTCTTGCAATCTTGATGTTTCGAAGTCTGATTTATCAAAGATGGAAATTGGTGCTTAGTGTAATTCAAGGTGAAAATTGATACCATGAGTGAGAAGGCCACCATGGGCTTTATATAGATAACTCATGTGTCAAAGCGTACTTGGCTTTCACGCTTACAAACTAGACACCCCAAGTCTGACGGCCGATTCTCGTACAGTGGACCAACCAAAACATTTCTCATGGACAAGGTCCACTGCTGAGTCTACCAATATGCCTAACCGGGGTTGTGAAGGTTGTGAAGATGAGATGTGAGTTGTGCCCCTATCCGGCGGGTGTTTTTCCGTTATTCCTATTTAAGAACGGGTATGTAGGGGGTGTGGTGCCCAGGAATATCTATTTATTCAAACACTAGCATATCTAGCCCTCAGGAGCTCAGAGCTGCAAACCCTCGGGTTAGGAATATTACCCACGTCATCTTCCCACGGTATCATACATTACTTTCTTCACAATGGAGGGTTCTAGGCAACAAACTCGCGAGAGCATTCTAGGTCAAATCCCAGACACCATACAGAGTTTCCTTCAAACGGTTGATACAAGGGCAATTCGAATACTTGGTGATACTCCTAACAGCGTTCTCGATCCCGGAGACTATCTGGGGTCTGTACGTCCGTTTGTGTCAAAAGTCGAAAGCTCTCTCCGCCAACATTGCCCAGATAATCAAACTTCCTTCCTCGCCGTCAACATCTATCCCGGGCACCACTCTTATTTCGTGCTCGACCTCAACAACGTCCACTACGATTATGAGACTGCTCATAATGATATGTGTCCAATACCTGTCTATGTCCTTCGCCTATCGAAAAGAAAACCTACAATCTTTAGAAGGGAAGCCTTGGATAAGACGCTTGCTGAGACACTTGCATCGATGCACAATGGACATGGCCACGAGCCTCTGCCCTTGTTTGACAATTATAACGAAATTGTTCAATACCGCAACCCGCGCAGCCTTGAGTCTTGATACATATCGCATGGGCTCTCGGACTGCAGATACTTTGTTGTTTCTACGCCTAAATGTCTTCCGTTTATCTGTCCTGTCCGTTCCCTATATTTGGCCCTTGAAATCCAGATGGCAAGGCTTACAGCAGGCAAACTCCAAGTCGTTTAACCCGGGAATATGAATCCACGAGGTAGCCTCCCATTCGCTTCTTAAGTGTCTTAGGTCCTTACCTCTGATGCATCCTTGAAACTTGCCACAGCCCAGCAAGGAAAAGCTCCCATTTTCTGCGCCAAGTGAAATGCCATTGACTTCTCTTTCCCCCCTATGTATGTAAAAGGACTCGTGTTGGAGGTCTACTTTGTAGGAGAAAACACAGCCTTTTACTATTTTATGCGTTTTAGGAAGGGGATATTGCGGTAAACTAGGTGGGGGGAGAGAAAGAAGAAGAAGAAGAAGAAGAAGAAGAAGAAGAAGAAGAAGAGGAAGCAAGATGAAACAATTTTCTTGTTACCTATGTGAGCCAACTACCAAAGAGATGCAGCCATCATCCCCACTAGCACCTGCCACACCTATTGCAAAAGAGACTCAAGATCCGCAACACGAGTACCTCTATCCTCAGCTTTCTTCTTTGCCGTCTCCCGGAAAGCAGCAAGCATAAGATCCCTCTTACGCTCCTGGATCGCCAACACCCGGTCCTCAATACTATTCTCCATAACCAGTCTCCAGACCGTCGTCTCTCGCTTCTGTCCAAGCCGATACACCCGATCGACAGCCTGATCCTCAATAGCAGGCGCCCACCAGCTGTCACACATGATGACCTGGTTCGCTGCAACGAGGTTGAGACCAACACTGCACACGCTCAGACTTGCAAGGAGGACGGTACACTCAGGGTCGTTGGAGAATGAATTGATGGAGTTGTCACGTTTCACAGACTGCATCTTGCCATCCACACGGGCGAATTTGATCCCGCGCTGCTCGAGGTGTGGCTCGATGAGGTTCAGGAATGAGGTCCATTGGCTGAAAACTACGGTCTTTGTGCCCGGTGCCTGGCCCTGAGCAGTCAGGATCTTGACCAGAGTCTCGATCTTGCTGCTTGGACTGTCGGGGTCGACTTCAACGGTGTCGGTGTCTTCGCCCATTTCCACAGCTGGAGAGACAAGTGTGTTCGTTTCGTTGATATCTGCGCGGCAGAGTGGGCACTTGTGCTGGCGTTCGATAACCTGCTCGATGCAGCCCCGACAATAGGAGTGAGCACAGGCAGTTATGACGGGTTGCTCAAGGTTGTCGAGGCAGATGGCACACATTTCTTGGCTTTCTATCTGGAGCTGCAGCATCTCTTGTAGAGCACGGACGTTCTCAGGTGTCAAAGGTACGACTTTGTGTTCTTCCAGCATACCCATGAGTTTGTCAATGCGATTCTTGCATAATGCCCAGTGATTGCAGACTTGACGAAGACGGAGAAGAACCTCGAGGAGGTGAGAGTACGTAGTCTTGCCATCTTTGCCCTTGAAGTCGAGAAGAGCACCTTGGGCCTCCTTTCTATGATTGTAATTAGTAAATTTGTTTTCACTGTATAGGTAGTCACTCAATACATACTGGAAAGCATTGTACTTCTCCTGTTCATGAGCCTTGAACTTGATTCGAATGATACGGGACGTCATCTCGGGCAACTTCAAATTGATGAAGCCCATATCCTTTCTACGTCGCAAGCAGATGGTACCCATGAGAGCCTCAAGAAGCAGTCGGGCCTCAGGCTCTCCTGAAGTCAAGGGGCGAATCAAGACACTGTTGAACATCCTTAGATCTTCCAAGCCGCCAGAGAACTTTAAGAAACGGACTTGTGCATACAAGTCCTTGAGAGTATTGATAATGGGCGTTCCGGTCAGGGTCCAGCGGGAATCGGCTCGCAAACCACAAGCCGCGAGGGAGGCCTTTGAACTGGGATTGCGGATAGTATGGCCTTCGTCAAGTACGACACGGCGCCAATGAAGCGAAAAGATGCCCTTAGCAGGCTGCTTATTGGCATTCGGATTGAAATCCAGGGCCAAGGCTCCATAGCTGGTGATCACAACGTCATACTTTGCCAAGTTCGCAGCTTCTTTCTTCCCAGAACCGTGATAAATCAAGACACTCGGGGCGGTCTCCTTGTGGGCATGGTCCTGAATCTGATTTCTCCAGTTGCTCATAACACCGACAGGAGCAATAATCAAAGTAGTCTTGGAGGAGCCTGAAGTGAGAGGCTTTGCATTTGCAAGAATCAAAGAGATGATCTGGATTGTCTTGCCCAAGCCCATGTCATCAGCGAGAATACCACCGCTGGCGAGGGTTGGCTCCGTGGCCATGGCATAATTTGTTGCGATATTGAGGAATTCGCCATTTTTTCGTTTCCACAACTGAACGATGTCGTCGGAGCCCACCTTGGGAAGACTTGGCGATTCTTGCTTGATCATCCAAGCTAGTCCTTGGCGCTGATATGGAAGCAACTGGGTAGAAAGGCCGGCTGGAGTATCGACCATCGGCATATTGGCCAGGTCAGACTCCTTCTGTCCGAAGGTTTCCACAACCTGGCCGATATCTCGGGGATTGAAGGTGGAGCTCTGGTTAAGGAGTTCCTCCAAGCTCTCATTTTCCTCGCCACCAAGTCCCGTTGGAGTCGAGAGGTTCGCATAATCCGAGTTTTGGTTGGCTTGCCATTTTGATGCAGCTTTACCAAGCGCCATGGCGCGAGCTTTCTTTGCCGCCTCCTTCCGCTGTTTCTCGGCTTCTTTCTCTGCCTTGCGTTCCTCACGCTCCAACTCGTTCAGTTGGCGAACAGGAAGCTTATCATTCTGCATTCGTTGCTTCAGGTTGGATCGCTTGGTAGGTTCACAAGTTCCAAACAGCTTCAGATCCACCGGACATGTAAAATCTCCAATTGCACCAGTCAATATGCCTTCGATAATGAGATCGTGAGCATCCTTTGATAACGAAGGTCAGCAATCTCTCAAAAGCAGTATGATTGGAGAATTTTTACCATGTACGATGCCAGCTTGGCTGCCATCTGTCGTGGAATGTGGCCGATTTGGGCACCCATAACATTATCCACCTTGATAGCATTGCGATCATATTGATTGTTGGCATCCCGATTTATGATGACGCGTTCACCTGGGTTGGCACGACCCCTATAAAAGCGCACACCAACGATCTTTGTAGAAACAATACCTATTTGGGGTTATTTAGTACAGTTTATAGAGCGCAGGTGCGGAGACGAGGTTAGTGAAAGTGAAAAGGCGCATACCATAGAGGATGGAGCTTGTCAGAGATGTTTCATCCACTTCCTGAGATCCTTGAATCACATCGAGCGCTTCTTCATCATCTTCGTCGGCACCAACTACTTGTGACAGCTGATTCAGTGGAATGAAGTCGGCAGATTCGCCAAATCTCTGGCCTGGGCTGGATTTTTCAGTGTTCAAACTCGGAGCTGTGCGACTGGCTTTTGGCGCACGCCCGGATTGACTGTACAGGGCATCTTCGGTGGAAGTGTCATTGACCTTACGTTTTCCTGCCATGTTCCGGCTTCAGCCAACACGTTGATGTAGGTTTGGCAATGATGAAGATTGGGGATTATGAACTGCTAAAGGAGTGCGAATGTATCTGGGGCCCTATGTTTGTTTCTCAACAGTGTCCTCTCAACTGTCAATTTTCAACGAAAAAGGGGCCACAAACGAACAGATAATATTTGATTTAAGTACCCTGTACTCCGAAGGAATTGTGAGAGCTGTCACATTACGCATATAATCACTAATTGGGTTTAGTTCCCGACGCGTAAAGACACGGCTACACGTGACTGAGGGGAATAATCACGTGGCACCTAAGATGGATATTCCCCGAGATAATTTGCTGATAACTGGCCGCCCGCTGAGTGGACGCTCATTATAGGGCAAGCCCCACGGCCTTTAGGTTAGTGTTGACATAATTGGTTTTGATAACAAGCTGAGACAAGAATTTATCCATTGGAAATATTCATGAAAGCTCCAAGCTCCATATACCGTTCTCATCTATATCCTTGCCTTTATCCTTGTCAATCAAGAAAGTCTGCATATATATCCATTTGCCGTGCGGAGAAACCCCGGCGATTGCGTGGGGTATGTCCCGTCCCCGGATTTTATCCGTTCCACAGGTCGGGTTTCCACTGATGCATCGACAGCTATCTTTCTCCTACTTTCGTTACAAATCATGTCAGTTTCGCAGATTAGAGTGATGCCGTCTTACCAACCATTCCAATGCCTCGTCTGTCAAAGTCGATTTACTCGACATGAGAACCTCAAGCGGCATTCAACGCTACACTCCCGCTCTCAGGCCGAGGCGTCGCTTCCCTGTGACTTCTGCCACGCAACATTCTCACGTCCCGACTTGCGCAATCGTCATATGAAGAGGAAACATCCAGAGCATGAGCAGCATCGAGTGACAAAAAGGACACAGCGCCAACCAGCACCTAGACAAGCTACGCTGCATTCTTCTGTATCACCGACAGCGATCTCACCTACAGGAAGCCATAATGTTTTGCCTTCCCCAGGGTCTGTGCATTCGAGCCCAGGGGAGGAGACAAGATTTGATAGTGATGCGATCTGGCGCCCAGTGATGCGGTATCAACAGCAGCAACAACAGCAGTTTGACCGTCGCCACCCCAGGGAAAACCCAAATATTGCTACGCCAAGGAATGGGGGAGCCAAGACGCAACAAATTACGAGAGACCTACTACAACACCAACCGACAAGCGACTCTGTTTTGATCGATCAGATTGTTCAGGATGCCACAGATCTGGAGCGGAACTTACTATTAGGGGCATCCTTTCTGAAGCCCACCAATCATCTTGACAACCAACTACACCCGATGGCCACCTCACAAGCCGAGCCACTTGATACAACTCTAGTAGAGTACAGTTTCAATCATCCGATCTTGGATAGATTGTCGCCAGGCGATATCCCTCAACTCCAGGACGATTGGATCCCGACTGCCTTGCAGATTTCACGAGGCTGCAATCTATTTTTCAACTCTGTCTCTGATTTCCTCCCATTTCTCCATTCCCCGACATTCGATCCGACACAAGCTCCTCCTCATTTGGTCCTAAGCATGCTTTGCCTGGCCTATCAATACGGCGAGGACCCAGAATGCGGGGACCAAGAAGGCTCAGGCCAAAGCTTTTCTATACGTTGCTTTCACAAAGCTCGAGCTCTCCTTGCTTCCGATGAAGAGAGGCCTGACGCTTCAGCAATGATCACCGCACTGGTTCAATCATACTTGCTTCTTCAAATCTGTGCTATGATGTACCTTTGTGGCGACAACTCAGCATGCGGGCTTAAGATGCATTCGCACATGATCTCTCTGGCTCGCGCTGGACGAATGACACAGCCAATGCCTGTTGAGTCCGGTGCGACCACAGATTTGGAGTCATTGTGGCGGGAGTTTATCAAAGCCGAGTCGCACAAACGGACTCTTTTCGCAGTGCATCAAATCGACGCGCTTTGGTACCAATTCCTTTCCATTCCCCGCTCAATATCACACTTGGAAATCAAGCACGAAATGCCCTGCCCAGAAGACCAATGGATCTCATCCTCTTCTGCCGAATGGGCTCATCGACAACTTGTTGCAAGACATGCCGGCCCCTCTGTCACATACACTGATGCTGTTCGACGCTTCCTTTCCTCTGATGAGGATATCACCTCTCTTCCAACATTCGACCCATACGGCGCCATCAATATCGCGCAATTTTTGATTTCTAGCGCCCGAGAAATCTCGGGCTGGTCTACAATGACGGGAATGCTCAGCATGGAGCGATTTGGCGCATTAAGATCATCCCTTATTACTCTTAGCCCGTTCATCTGCCCCAACAACCACACAGCGCTAACAAAACACGCAACTTCATGTGCTGCAACTTGGGAGACTGCCATGATCGAGCTACAGATGTGGTCACCATCCCATACCGGTGGCATTGTGGAAGGAAGCATAGATGCCGTTCTCAGTCAGTCAACATACCTAGGGCCGTCGCAGTTCCTGTGTGATGCCAGCACGGCCAAAGCTATACAACCGCATGTCAATTGGTTCCTACGATATCTCAATGAGACGCTCATATTAGAATCCGAAGCGCCGTGGGTTGCTTTGTATGCGTACAAAGCCTTTTTGATCGCTTGGCAACTAATACATGTTGGTATACCTGGCGCAATGGATGCCGTCGGCGTCCATGATGGTGATATGGAGGGAGCTCTGATGTGGGCGAGAAAGGTCTTCCAACGAAGACAGAAATGGCAGCTCGGGAAACTCATCTTATCTTGTTTGGATGAGTTAGAGAAATGAACCACGGCCTTCTTATGCTCCCACTGTTGACCAAATACGTGCCTTGTGTTATTACTTCGTCGCAAGTTTGATCAATCTAATTATTTTCAAGGATATATTGCCATTGTTATATTCATTCCCTAAACTAAAATATACCATAACCATGCGACAAAAGCTCATATATCGATCCCAGCAATGCACGAGTAAAAAGAAATAATACAAAATAACATAATCAATGATCAGTACATCTCGTAGCGCCAGTTGAGCTGTACCATTTCCTCTGTGACACCACCCTTGACCACCTTGGCGATTTCGACTGGGTCGCCCGAGTCCAGACGTTTGTTCTCGCGCAACACGAGCCAGCGGTATGCAGTGATTGTAAATCCAAACAGGATAGCAGCACCCATAAGCGTGCCGAAGGCAGCATAGAAATGAGGCTCTCCAAAGTATAGGTATGAGGCCCAGATGTTGGACGTACCACCAATGGCATTAACCAAAGCGGATGCAGCCGCTCGTTTCGAAATAGGTCGTGCAAGGTGCAGGTTGATGGTCTTAAAGAGGAGGAGCTGGGGACCGACGGAGGCGAAGGGTAGGATCATCATGGAGAAGTAGCGGGCGCCGACGTTCGTGCTCGCAATTGGGATAATATACATCGGGATCGAGATGGAGATGCAAAGGAGGATGATTGGGTAGACAGTATTCTTTCGATCGGACCAGAACATGAGACCGTAGTAGGCGATGCCGGCGAGGATATAGGGAGGCGCTGTGAGAAGCAAGCTGATGGTGCTGCCGAAGTTGAGTGAGCCAACGAGGGTGGGGAAGTAGTTGGCAATGGAACCCTGTGTCTGGGATAACATGTTGCAAAGGATGAGCAGAACCAGCTTGGGATCCGAGAGGGCTTTGGCAAACCCTTTCAACACGCTCTCGTTCTCTGTGCCCTCTGCAGCACCAGCCTCGGACTCGATACGCCACACGGCGAAGTCGCGCTCAAGCTGGGACAGGATCCGGCTGTTGTGGGGGAATTCCGGCATGATGCAGGCGCAGATGGCGCCAACGCCGACAGTAATACTGCCCTCGATGATGAATAGCCACTGCCAGCCGCGGATGCCGTGATGGCCATCAAGTTGGAGGATAGCTGCAGCGAAGAGACCACCGAAGGCATTACCGACTTGCTGGGCAATGTAGAGCCCGGCAATACGCTTTCCTAGCTCCCTTTTTGTGTACCAGGCAGAGAGGTAATAGATGGCCCCGGGGAAGAAAACGGCTTCGGCGGCTCCGAGAATGGCTCGAACAGCGAGGAGTTGACCATATGTTGTAACCGCCGCTGTGCAAGCCGAGATACAACCCCATATTGTCACGGCAGCACAGATATACATGCCTGGCCGGGAGATCTTTGTAATGATGAGGTTGCTAGGAATTTGGAAGGGTAGATAGCCAACAAACAGAATGGAGATAGCCGTGGCGAAGTCTTGATCAGACATGTGCAGATCTTCCATGATGCCCTGAAGCCTAGCAGCGCTCAAGTTTTGGCGATCGATATAGTTGAGAATGTACAGGATTCCAATTGTTGGAAGAACAAAAAGGTCGACCTTTCGGACGATCTTCTTGTTGAGGATGTGGAAGTCATCGTCGCTGAGTGCGCGAAGAGACTCTGGCATGCGGTCGTAGGCAGCGACTTGCCCTTCTGCTGACGAGACATTGTCTTCAGACAGGAACTCTGGGTCTTTCTTGTCAATAGGGAAAGACATGGGGAGGGAGTAGTGCTGCGTGCCAAGACAACAGCAAGTATGAAGGATGGAGAGTAAGTTGCACACAGAGTGTTGCAGGTGGCAGGCTGTTGTTCCTCTAGACGATACTTGAGCTCCCCCTATATAGCTCAATATCCTCAGGAGTCAACTAATCACCAGGCCTCCTTTTCAACAAATCTCGAGGCATTGATTGGTCGATATTGGGTCATCCGTAGTTGATAGTGAGCCGAGTAGATAGGCGTATGAAAGAGCGCCCAATGGCTGCTATCCGACCAATTGGAATCAATTACCCCAGGATGTAGAGTTCGGTTGAAATCTGGGGTACATCGAACTAGATTTGGGAGGAGCTCTCGCATGTTGATAAGAAGTTTTTGGAGGTGCAGGTGGCTTTCCGTCCAAGAACAGACGTTTTTAGTGACCGTATGGAAAGGACCCACAATTGCTGAGGTGAGCCCTATATAATATCGGACTCTTTCAGGAGGGCCGCTAATCTCAACTGTGAAAAGGAGATAAGCCACTCCGTAGGTTTGCCACTAGTTTGCCCTAACTACCATGCAAAGAGCTCATCGTTACCATCTCTTGGCTCCTCATTTTTAATTTTTAATTAATTTATAATTAGTTTAGAATGAGGGGAATGAGGGGGATAAGGATACGTAAATCAATAAATGATACTTAAACTAGCATCTTATCGACAACTCTTGTTCTTCATCCCACTCTCAATTCCTTATTGTCTCTATATTCTGATACGTCTACCACTACCTCTCTACCAACACTACAACCACCACAATGGCTTACACTACCGCTCTCACAACCTCAATCGACAACTCTCGGTTGAGACTTCTCAACAAGCTGAAGGCCGGCGAGTACCCGCTCATGACCTTCATGGCCATCCCCTCCATTCGCCAGGCTCAGATCGTCGCCTTGACCGGTGTCGACGGTATCATCATTGATTGTGAGCACGGACACATCGGCGACGATGCCATGCACAACTCTGTCGCTGCCATCTCCGCCCTCGGTGTCTCCCCGGTCATCCGCATCCGTGGCCCTGCCCACGATATCCTCAAGCGCGCCCTCGATACCGGTGCCCATGGCATCATGGTTCCCCAGATCAACAACGCCGAAGAGGCCGAACAAATTGTCGCTTCCTCCAAGTTCCCTCCCCAGGGTGTGCGTGGTCAGGGCTCAGCTTTCCCTGCTATCGCCCACGGCCTCACAACTCCCGAGTACATGAAGTCGGCCAACGAGACTATCATTACCATGATTCAAATAGAGACTCGCGCCGGTGTCGAGAACGTCGATGCTATCTGTGCTGTGCCCGGTGTAGACCTTGTCTTCATTGGCCCCAATGATCTTGCCCAGTCTCTGCTCGGATACACACCTGCTCGTGGCGATGAGCCTGAGTTCATTGCTGCTATTGATAAGATTATTGCTGCTGCCCGCAAACACGGAAAGTGGGCTGGTCGCATGGTCAACAATGGTACCGCTGCCAAGGAGGCTCGGGAACGTTATGATACCGTTGCCGTTACCGGTGACACCAAGGCACTTCAGAACTGGTACATGGCAGAGTTTGATATTGCTCGCTCATGAGATGGTTGGCGATTTTATGTTACCTTACGATAGACTTTCATATATATATTTTAAATAGACAAAATTGAGTTCCAATACTTCTTTTCCAATTTACATTGCACAATAATAGTCGGCCGCATATGCTGTCTTACGTCTTTTTGGCAGTCTTTTTCTTTAGATCTTTCCTTCCACTTCTCAGTTTTATAGCGGCAGAAAAAGACGTTGGGGGGCATAATTTGTTGATGCAACTTTAAGCTCGGAGAAACTCCGATACTTACATATAGGTAGCTACATGTCTTATCTCAAACATGGGAAACTAAGAGCCAGTAGGCCTTTTTGTCCCTAAAATAAATTCCCTTGCTGTCTAATGTAATTCATAACATATACTAGGTTCAACTCCTAGTGTTATGTAGGCGCTTGATTAAGATAATGTCCAATTATATATCAGCTCACAATCATATAGTCGGATATTGGTTACTCGGCTCTACGTCATACGAAAACTTGATGCTGTATTCAAAAATAATTTTAATTTTTATCATCTATATTCTAGCCATTTTCATAATATCATAATTTAAGCTTGCGCGATACACTCGATCTCAATGACAGTGCCATTTCCAGGGGCAACCGCCTGGAGGCATGAGCGCGAGGGCATAGGCTGAGGGAGGAAATCGATGTAGGCCTCGTTCATAGCGGCGAAATCCTTCATATCGGCGAGGTAGACGTTGTACTTGACGACCTGCTCAAGGGAAGACCCGGAGAGCTCGAGGACCTCCTTCAGGTTCTGCAGAGCTGTTCTCTGTATAAAAGAAGCAAAGAGTCAGTTTATGCCTCTGTAACCGACAACTGCTTGTGCAATTGAACTTACGGTAGCCTGCTTAATCTCTCCTGTGGCAGTTTGGCCTGCGCAGAAGACAAGGCCGGGAACCTTGACGGCAGGGCCTAAATAGCTTGGTCAGTTATCTTTATTCTCTTTTGTTTTGCATGCAGATACTCACAATTGTGAGGCTTGGTAGGGAACTTCTCGCTGGAGATGAGTTGACGAGACATCTTGATGGATTTGAAGAGAGTATGGGAGTTTTTTGGTAGATTTTGAAGAGTGTGTAAAGAAATTTGAAATTCAGAAGTACTACATGTAGACAATGAGCTTGTTTAAATTGTTCAAGCTACCCCTCCATGCCTGGCTATCCGAGGCATTTTGCTAATCAAAATGAGGGGCAATTACCCATTATCGCAATGGAGGAGCATTATTTTTTTAGTACTAATTTATTTGTTATCACCTTCCAGGGGATATGGTGGGTGGAGTGAGAGGAGTGAGAGGAGGAGGAGTAGGAGGAGGGAGGAGTGATAAATGGGAGGAGCACATTCATTTGGGTAGATTATTGCGGCCATATTACTTAAATGCTTATCAGAGTGAGAAAAGTCCCCGAGTCCCGCCTAGCAATCAGTATTGACCAAGTGGCCACAATCAACACTTATACATACCTCACTCCCGACAATGATCAGCTGTAAATCTTCTTCCAATCTCGGTCTAGTGCCAACCTTTTAGTTTATGCTTAACGTTCCACATCCATAGATGCCATTTTCGCGCTAAGGCAGAGGAGCCCTCCGAGTTTCCGTTTATGATAACAAAAAGTGACCAGCTGAGACATCTGGGAAATATGGGGAAATGCAACAGGGAGCATCCAACATGACGATTATCGTGCTCAAAATTCGGTGGCGCACTAGCAGATGTAGTCCTGCTCTCATCTGATCTAATCTAACTGAATGAAGCATGCCATACTTGCCTCCCCGGATATCGGATACGCAGATAGGCTTCCATGCCTCATCAGATTAGTATAAAGTAGGTATAGAACTCGATCAGATAGTCTCTCATCTACTGTCTTCAGCATCGATTACAATATTGAATCTTTTTTACACATACATTACCATGGCACCCGCAGCCCCCTTCAACCCCCCTGCCGCTGATCTACCTGGCAAGCCTTTTGTTCCAACATGGGTTCCCCCGCCAATCACTCAGCAAAAAGAGAACTTTGCTGAGCTTAGCTCCATTGATCTTTCTTTGATGGACTCGGATGACCCTGCCGTTGTTGACAAGCTTGTCCAGCAGGTTAAGGGCGCCATTCGTGATGATGGATTCCTTTTCCTCGAGAACTACGGAATCTCCCTAGAGCAGGTAAATCTTGGTTCTCGGGAAATATTCTAATACCAACATCGCTAATAACCTATCTTTTTCAATAGCTCCACCGCCAATTCTCTCTTGCACAATATCTATACCACAACATTAGCGAAGAGGACAAGGAACGCCTTCTGTTTGACCCTGAAACTGGTGTTTGGTCTGGCTACAAACATCCTTACGGATTCAAGGTAAGAGGATCTACCTCATGCGTCAAGAAAATACAATTCCTTACGTATATACTTACTTTCCCCTTTAGCGCGAACGTGGACCCGAAGACGGCATCGAGCAGTTCAACTGGTACAAGCCCGACTGGAGCGACATCAACCGTGTACCCAAATGTCTCCACCCCTTTATGGATGAGATTGAAGAGTTCTCCAACTACCTGACCAAGTCCGTCAACCGCCGCCTTCTGACTCTCTTCTCCCGCGTTCTCGAGTTGCCCGATGACTACCTCTGGGATAACGTCCAGTCACACGGTTGCCCAACTGGCGAGGGCTACTTCCGCCATGCACTTTTCCGCCCCGTCCAGAAGAAGACCGAAGAGGCATCCAAGGGCCTGCGCATGCACGGTCACACTGACTTCGGTCTGACAACATTGCTCTTCTCCGTCCCCATCTCGTGTCTCCAGATCTGGGGCCGTGACGAACAGTGGTACTACGTCCCCTACAAGCCCGGTGCGCTTGTCATCAACATCGGTGATACCCTGGAAATTGTTTCTGGTGGCCATTTCAAGGCTACTCGTCATCGTGTTTACAAGCCTCCTGTCGATCAATTGCAGGAGGAGCGTCTCTCACTCGTGCTCTTCAACAGCTCTGTTGGTGAATTGCGCATGGGTCCCGCAACAGGTTAGTAGATTGAGATCAACACACACGTATAACCATAACGAGTACGCTAACATAATACTTTTTAGAATCTCCTCTTATCCAAAGAGTGGGCTGCGTTGAGGAACAGGGTGTCTACAAGGAGTTCAAGAACCTCACATCCCAAGGAAAACTTGTGCCTACCAACCGTCAATGGCGCGAAATCCAGATTGCTACCGCTACTGATCCTACGGATCAAGAGCGCAACAGAGTTGGCGCTGATCAGGTTCTCATTGATGGCAAGATTATGCACCAGCGAGAATACATGGGTATAAAGGTTGTCCTGCCCGTTTGAGCTATAATGCTGACAATGATTGGAAGTGTTTGGTGTTTTGATATTATTACCCCTGGTTTTTCTGGATGACTTATGCCAACAGATTGTATGCAAGATTCAGACATATGTAGCGTTTCAATTTGATACTTTTTTATATATATTTATACATTTTACGTAGTATGAGATGCGCGGCTGACTGCTAGGTGCATAGCCACTGTAGATTAGGGACACTACATACTGCCATAATTCATCATCAAACGCTAGGTATTTCTGGTAAAAAATTTCAGATCCGAAAAGGCCTGTCAAAAAGACTGGCTGAAAAGACTGGCTGAAAAGACTGGCTGAAAAGACTGGCTGAAAAGACTGGCTGAAAAGACTGGCTGAAAAGACTGGCTGAAAAGAATATCAAAAAGACAGCATAAGACCACATCAACGGCCGACTGCTCTTGTTTCTATCTCTAAAACAAAAAATTCCATCCGGTGCCTACTGCAAAATGATTCTAAGAAAAGATTATCTTTTATTTTTTATAGTGCAGAAAGAAATATGCCGGATTGAAGAATATGTAAATAAAATTATTCCAAATTACAGGACCTATTTCAGCCCTCCAGCTAGAAGGAGGCTCTGGCCCGTCATATACCCAGTCTTCACTAGCATGGTAACAACATTCGCTGTTTCTTCTGGAGTTCCTAGCCGCTTTAGAGGAATACTCGCTGTCACTTCGGGGAATGCTGCGGCAGAGGAAAGCATGCCCGTATCACCGATCATAGCTGGGGCGACGTCGTTGACACTGATGTTGTATTCTGCCAGTCGCGTTGAAAGGTTCTTCATCATACCAGTAAGACCGCCCTTGGAGGCTGCGTAGTCTAGAATGGGAAATTGAATTAGTAATTGCCTTGAAAAGGCAAAAAAAAGGCCAAGGTATCAAGGGCAGTGAATTGACTTACGACAGCCATTAATGCCTCCGCCTTGAGCAGCGATGGAAGACATGAAGATGATCCGTCCCCACCTCTGGGCCTTCATGTGCTCTACTACACCTTTGACAAGAATAAAGGTAGCGCGGAGGTTGATGTGCATTGTGTAATCAAACTCCTCAAGCGAGATATCCGACACATCAGGAATTCGCTTGCCATATCCGGCGTTTGATATAAGAATATCTGGGCGTTGGCCGTGCTCTAAATCAATTTTTCGAAACATAGCCTCGATTTGATCGCCAGAACCAACATCAACCTGGTGGATTGAAATACGAAGGTTCTGCGTGGCATTTTTGGAGCGTATATCTGCGACAATGTTGTTCAAGGATGTCAAGTTGGTCGAGTATGTCAAGGCGAGATTAACTCCATGTTGTGCAAGTTGATGGGCGCAAGCTGCACCAATTCTAAAGCCAGAGAATCGACGTGACTTAGCTTCATATCCTTGTATAAACGGTCGGTGTCATACTTACCCGCCAGATGCGCCAGTGATCACGGCCAATTTTCCTCGAATGTCGTTGAATGCCATTTTTAGAAATATAAGAAGTGTAAGTATATTGATTCAGCAGAGCGAGTGAAGATTCTATGAAAGAGATATTCATTGTGGAACCTCATTATTACCCCGTTGGCGTTAGATGTTCCCCGCCATCTAAAGCTGTTCCTGATAGTCAAAGACTGCAGGTCACATTGCCACGTAAAATGCGGAGTGCGGAGAATATTGAAATAAGAAAAAGTGGGTAGTGTGGGTTCATGGAGGAGCTCCTCCCAACGATTTCAACCTTCGAGATACGAGGTAGATAGTCACCAGGTTATTCAAAGGCAACCTCATTATCTATCCAGAGCGGCGATCCTGAGCTTACCTTTTTACTCCCAACCCTTTTTATTTTCGAGATAGTCGCGTCCATGGGAATAGTAGGAGTATATCATATGTGTTCCTAAAGGTCACCACCACCAATTGGTGACCTATTGAGGTAGACACTAGGTTATACCTAAATTTGTTACTAGTAGCCACACCTAGAATCTTCTATTTATGACTTTCCAAGGTTGGAATACCCGATGGGTTGGATCGTGATCTGCCTTATCCGCCCCTGCCTTCCTATCTCCACCTCAGTAGCCTAGTGGCTAAGATCGACTACACCATCTGTTTCGTTCACCCATCTCTAGTGAATACTTCAACTTTGAATGAATCTGCAAATCAGCATCAACTCGCCGACTATAGATCCTAACAAACAAATTAACCGATACCATCCAAATTAAATCATCTACGAATCTATACTAGTTAACTAATTAATTAGTTAGCTGTAGTCAAAATGCCATATAGCTAAGGAACTTAGGTTTACTACTCCATTCGACGCGAAATTAGGCAGAAGATAACGGCCCTCAAGATGATGATATTGAGTATTTGCGTTTCGAGTAGTCCAGGAACCCACGTTCAGAAGCGGTCACTCCTCAATTAAATACACCCTTCCCGTGCATTAAATTCTTATATTGAGTTTTAATTTCCTGCAGGAATCATACACTTTCCTCTAGCCTCAGGCTTCCGTTGGAGTGTGCCCCGAGGATCACGTTGCTGGTCCTGCGTATCATTCCTTGGCTTCCCAATACCTTCCCTGATCCCAGAAGTCTCCGAGTCCTGAGGCCTCACCAGCCTTAACCAGGATTGTACAATCTATGAAGTTCGTACCCTGGGAACCGTTTAGCAATACCTCTTTGGTAACAACACGGCCACTCCTGAACCCAGGGCCGCCAACATGCTGATAATCCCTGATATCTTCCTCACGAATTGCAGTAACACAATGGCCGTACTGACCTCCGTCTGGATAGTAGAGCACCAGGCTATTCCGAGCCTCCCTCTGTTCGCGGGATTCGTACGAGTCTCCGTAGTAGAATGGGACATCCCGGACCGACATAACAAATTCAGATACCAGTCTTAATTGCTTCGCTTTATTCATCAACCTTAGGATATCATCCTTCTTCATACCCCTAGACTCGTTGCTAGGCTGGGGTTCCCTGTTCTGCTCGAGAGCTCGGGTGCAGTCATACCGAGCGCGGCTGCCAGAGAGACAAAGACGCAGTTCTGCGTTAGCGCTTGAGGGTTATACCAAGACCCTGCTCCTGGCGACGATCTTCCGTAACAGACGGAGGCTATACGGCTGGCAATGGTGGCTGTATCAGTAGTCATGTTGGGCGTCACGACGTCGAGATTGTATTCTTAGAGGCTGGCTTGCTCGAAACTTGAAGCTAGAAAGCTAAACTATGAGTGGTGAATTATTTGTGAATTGGCTTGCAGCTCTTACCGGAGGTCTCCTCCCAGGTGCTTTGCAGGATCTTGGCCTTGTGGGAGTGGTAGCTTGTGAGAGGGGCTTCTCAGGAACAAGGAACAACAAGAATGTTTCTGAGATGAAGTTTTCAGATCGGACAGAGAGAGAGAGAGAGAGAGAGAGAGAGAGAGAAGGGCAACTGAATAAGCCTTTATATTCCTAAAACCATTCTACCTGACTATGGATATGTGGGGTACCTTGCTTTAACGTGAGGCTGAAATCACGAACCGCGTAAATATAACTGGTTATCATGATCGGAGCACAGAGCCCTGCCACGTAGCAGTCTGAGAAGCGATGTTACCTTGTCCTATCAGATATTTTAGTCGCTCACCTCACTTTCATACTTAAAGCTCAAATCAACATAAAGCTAAGTACAAAATATACTATTTAAAGATACATATTAAACTTGAAGAGCGGTTTAGTAAATATTTTATGAAAAATATATATCCAAATCACAGTTAAGACGGATCTCTTATTGACCAGCTTCGAAGGTTTTCTAACACCAATTCCCCAGTAAAACCAAGGAAAAAAGAGTGGGCTCTATAGCAACTAATTGGTATAGCCAATCAAATGGCTAGATCGTTAAGTTATTGTGATCTGGGCCAGGGGTCTCAATGTATTTAACGCGGCCAGCTTCATTGCCTACATAGGTCGACTTTTACAACCTAGATAAACAACTGAACGCACTCCCCAGAACAAAAACTCTTCATTTTGGGCTGAAGTAAACTAGTCACAGTAAGTAGGTAGGTTCAGTCTCGGAGCATGGCTTGCTCAAACTAGCAGATGGGCCTAAGCATTTGATGTTTGGTTCCCCGTTTTCTAAGGGCTACTGGCTAGAGGCTAAAAAGAAAACATCACTTACTTTCAAAAAAAAAGCTCAGTCGAGGTCACTGCAGAAAGCTGGGATATTGAAGCACTGATGATACTACTTCGGGCTATTTAGGGTCAAATTGCCAATACTATAGTATACCCCGGAAGCTCACCCTGGAGATCCTCGCCAAAATTGCTGTCATAGCAGACTACTATAAATGCAGGGAGGCTTTGTGTTTTATGACAGATATACAAATCAAGTATGTAGAGGAAAAGATTCCTATGGTAGTTTCTCGGGATTTGATTTTATGGCTATGGATTGCCTGGTTTTGAACTCTCTTTCCAATTCAGATTATCGACTTTCACATTGCCATGTCACAGAGCAACGGCGAAATTGGTAATTTGGGACTTCCGATCTCAGAAAATGTCATAGGTAAGGGTAGACGGATTCTCCCAAGTTCTTTGAGAAGCCATGGTATTTACATCAAAGAAATTCGCCCATTATCTGCCCTGCCTTCCGTGCAACTTGCTGGGCATCAGGGCTGATATCCTCGTATTCCGCCATAAACAAGAACCGCTCCTTCCACAGCCGCCATCGTCCCTCCGTAAATCCGTGGCTTCCATCCCAAAGGTCTGTTTTACCTGGTAGAACTCTCTGAATGTACTCAGGACTATCAGGTCGATCATCCTTCCACATCAACACTCCAGCGTAGATGATCCATTGTGCAGCGGCGCATACATCGGCTGCCAATAATTCTGATACATCCATTTTGTACCACGGTGAGTGTCTCTGAAGCCCGGACTGTGCCTGGCGTCTTCCCTCTTTGTACTTCATCGGGTCCGCCTCTAAACACTTTGTCAATAAACTCAAGCCCAAAGGACGAAGCTTTGCGCCTCGACTAAAAGAAGTTGTAGCTAGCAGCCTTGCTGAGAAGGTATTCATATTGATCCATCTAGTGACTGACTTGGATGCGGACACTGTCCATCCGGATAATGCATGAGGTGAGATTATATCCCATTTGTCGCGCCACATACTCCCAAAGCAGCCTGACCATTCCCGCGGTATATCTTGAAGGACTGACTCAGGTAGCTTTGAATCGAGCTTTTCAGCTTCAATCAAAAGGGCCAGCAATAAGGAATGGCTTGAAGGAAAGTCGGCAGCGGCCTCATAGATTAGCCCCCAGAGAGCCCACGGCGTATTCTCATTTATAAAGTCGAGCAAGCTCAGTTCTTTGACTGCGGTGGTTGAATCAATCGTGTTTGAGAATAGTTGCTGTAGGACTTTTGCATGGGGGTGTGCAGTGCGGTATTCACGGTCTTCAGTTAACTGGAGCCAGGATTGGTAATCACTTGTCGACATGATGAAGTTGATGCAGGTCCTACTACCGAGGATGGATATTAATGGGACTTAAGTATAGAATGATGGTACTCCCGGTACCTGATTACCTTAAAAGGAGCCGTGTTGAAAAATGTTGGCAGGCAGGTTGGGTGTATGTCTCTTCTCCCCTCAACCGTGACATCATAGGCAGGCCAGTCATGGCCCCGGGGGCTTTTTACTATTTTAGTCAGCCCTGGAGTATTGTGGGAAATGATACAGCCATTCTACCACTAGACCATACCAAAAGCCAAGGTTCCTGTTTAAGGCCTAGGGCCATATCCCAGTCTGACCTCCCAGGGGATGGCGACTTGTCGGGATTCCCTGTAACATGTTCATACTGTCATCTATGATTTTGTTTATTTTGTCAATTTTTCTCGTGTCACATCCTTTTTGAGTCTGTCTCAAACGCTCTTGGAGAGGATATACTTATTTTCCCTAGGGCCGTGGACGCATATAACCTTTAGAATCTAGATGCCTTAAGGACTATAGCCCATGGATGGATCGGGACCCGGAATTCTGCTTACTAAAAAGGCCTATGGGCCAGTGGACAGCCCTGAGGTTGGATGACCTGCGTCCTATACGTTTTGTTTCCCCACCTTTTTTTTTCCATCCTCCAACCAACTTCTTCATTAATTTCGCCAAGACTTTACTTTGTATGATCATGGATCGTGACGAGAAAAACATTTTTTCTGAGTTTGAAGATGAAGAACGAAAACAACTTGTTGCAGAGATCATAACTCAGGACCCTAGCCTCGCTACCCTCCCTCGTTCAAGTTTTTTCAGCCTCTGGTTCTCAGACATCAGGATCCTTCGGCACTTCGCAAAAGTCCAGGAGGAAGATCCTACTTTTGCCTGGAGGACTTATACACTAGGCAATGTCAACGGAGATGATATTCCTGGGATCGGTAAGTATACGGTGTATAAAAAAAATGCATGAAGAAGTGCCTCCATGAGGACAAGCTGACAATTGTTATATAACATAGTCGCAGGGGGCAAGCAAGTGAATAAGTCATCCTCAAAAGGCAAAGCTTCATTCGAATCCAGGTTGCCTAGAGCATTCCAAGGCCCTGCTAGCAGATCTCGCTCCATGTCTCCTGAAAAGGCCCACCCAGGTCTCCGAGACCGTTCGATTAACCTGCCACGCACTTCCTGGGATGACCATCCAGCCCCCCCCCATGGCCAGGCTCCATGTTTAGTTCAGCCTGACCGGCAAAAGCGCGACGATGTAATTAAAAAGAAGGTACGCTTATAGAGAGTATAGAGACAAAGCAATGCTGACTTCCTCGCCCTTCAGTGTCTAGAACGGGATGACGCCCGATGCATCCTCACCAAACGTGATCAACCCGGACTTCACTGTGCCCACATTGTGCCCTTCAAATTAAATGGTTTCAGCGCGAGTCATAGCTCTTGGAGCTGGCTTCGAGTCTTCTGGGGTCGGGAGGTAGCCGATAAGTGGATGGCTGAGCTGCTCAATGGCTCAAATCAACCGAATCTGTTCAACACTGAACAGGTTAAGAATCTGATAACGCTTGGAAGCCAAGAACACAACTACTGGGATAATGGTATTTTTGCCTTCCGTCCTGTGAGAACCTACCAGCAGAACACTAAAATGGATATTGCGTTCCATTGGTTACCACCTCGCGGAAGTGAGAAACAAACCGACCATATCCCCACTCTATCACACCCATATCCGAGTCACCCCCAAGGATACGGCACATCCCCAGGTGGAAACAGATATCTCTTCCATTGTGAGACGTTGAACGTTATCCCCTCCGGACATATTTTCACAGTGACGACAAGCAACCCAGTCACTCATCCTCTTCCATCGGAGGAGTTGTTAACAATGCAATGGCATCTAAGTCGTATTGCTAGTATGCAAGGGGCTGGCGAAGACGAGGACAGTGACCTAGACTCCGATGGTGACTCTGTCGCCGTTACCTCAGGCTCACGATCGCCGGCAAAGGAGACTCACAACTTCCCCGAAAAATTTGTTCTAGCGTCGCCGGGAGGATCCCCGAGCAAGCGAGCTAGTATCCCCTTTGAGAACGTGCTTTCCGAGAACATACCTCTCAGACATCCAACCCAATCGCCGCCACCTTCCAAGGCACGGAATCTACCTAGTATGGGTGAATCCTCTAGTGAACCCATCGACAAATAACTTGCTCCTCTTTTTTTTTTATCGACGATAGCTTGCTTTCTGTTTCTTTAGGGTTGTGCTACAGCGACACCCCCCCCCCCCCCCCCCCCCCCCTTCTTCTCCCTCCTCTGGCTAGATCGACCCCCCTGCCTGAAAATGCCTGAAATCCCAGTACTGCCTTCCAACTAATATTCTGCCGTATTTTCTGCCGCTCTACTTTTATACTGCCATATATTCTGCCTACTTTATGTTTACATATTAAAAGACCTGCATTTTGATTAGAAAAAATCGTATCTTCTGCCTGATTCCTGCCTGAATGCTCTACATATTGATGATTCTCCTTATGTAGCTCCTGGCGCGCGCGTTTTTATCTATGAGATCCATGTGTCAACTAGGGCATTAGGAACTAGCACTAGGGAGGGAGCGAACGTACCAGAGGGAACATCGACGGTTGGTAGGAGTTGGTTGGTGATCTAGATCAGGGAGAGCGCCGTGAGTGTTTTACCGAGACCGCACGCATCAGCGAGGATACCACCATGGAGGGGACTGTGGAGTGTTACGAAGTTGGGAGTTGATCGCAAGATCATTAACGCATGTTAGCATGTACTAGCGGCTCCACCACATCTGGCGAATATCGAAGAAGGTAGACTCAGTGACGTTCGGAGAGGTAAGAGTGGGTGGTTCGGGATGAAGCAGAAGTTCGGTATAGTGGCTAGAATAGTCGACAGCCTCTATGACAGTAGCAGCTTTGATAGAGCGAAATTTCTAGGGGAACGTAGGAAGAGATGCAACACCAAACCCAGCCAGACGGTCAGCGATGTAGCTCTTAATGACTTGGTAGGTATCTTGGTGAGAGGGAGAGAAAAGAGCGCGAAGAGATGAGGTTGTCTTAACGCCAAGGCAGCCAGCTAGGCGGGCGGCAGATGAATCGAGGTCTTTCATAGACGCAGCAGTGAACGGAGTGTTATAGAAGCCTTCAAGTGGATGGGGACGTGCACTGCGGCCTGGTCCACTGGGTTGAGGACCTCGAGAGGCGCCATAATGATGACAAAGACGCAAGATAAAATGGTAAAAATCCGACGGGCATCAAAGGCACTTGTGTGAAAATAGATGTAATAGGATGCAAAATGATGGGGAAAAAGAAGAAGAAGAATTGAAATGGTGAGAAATAGGTATTTATACTTAACCCTTAATTTTTTTTCTACAGATCTAAGATCAGATAAATGTTGTATGAATTGTGAGTATACCTAGGGTTGTTTGTGGTTGTGAGTGCCCAGGTGGGACTGCAGGTATGATAAGATTAGATTGTGTGGGGAAATGTAGGACTGACGTCACATTTCTGACGGCCGTCAGAAATACTGTAGCGGGAGGGAGATATAGGCCTATATATTAATTCGCTAATGCATAGTATAAGGTATAATATAGTATCAATTGGAATATATGTATGATACAGTACGGAGTAGTGAGTGAGATTATACATGGAGGTGAAGATAATATATATTTGGATGACATACAAGTAGAATATACTATCACTATGGAGATCCTATAATTCTGAACTACGGAGGATTTATGAGTATCGCATAGTCCCAGTAGAATATAATTTACTGACATCCGTCAACATTTCTAGTGTACGATGGTACAAAACACGTCTTGATGCCATGGTGCAAAGCACAGACCGCTTTTAGGCGCCGTTAACCTATAAAAATGAAGCTTTTGATCCTATAGAAATAGAAATATCTCCATGTTCTTGGACAGTTTACGGGTGTCAAAATGAAGCTTTTCATTTCCATTTGTATGGGATCAAAAAGTCCATTTTCATTCCTACTGAGAGGAGGTCGGAAATTATGGAAAGCCTTAGTTAGGAGATGATGGAAAGATGTCCAAACCAACTTGCGGCGGTAGAAACCCGAGACCTGCAAACATAAAAAGTATAGTATTGGTGACCTCACGCAGTCAAGGGGGAAGATACGATATGTATAGTTGGACTGTAACGGGTCACTTGTCGCTGCGGTCTTATACGTAAAACTCAATCATTGTGACCTAGTGAGCAAAACGCCTGCGTCGATGGTTGTTGTAGTGTGGTGTTGAATGTTGGAGCAAGTGGTATTGTAAAATAGGGGGGTCCAATGAATGGGTTTCAACTCTCTGTATTTCTGTATCGGCTTCCGGGTACAATTTATATGAAGCCTCGATTACATAATATTAATTACAAGACATGAAGGATTAATAAATCCTCCGGTATACCGGGCTTCATGCACCGACATTGAATTGTGGCCTGAGGTATCTAGAGTTAAATGTACTTCACGTGATAACATATTTCTTTTTTAACAAACGTCACCTCTAGGCTACCTTTTCATGTTGTACATTGCCCGACGTAAATCCAAGCAAATCTTCAGTTCATCCCCGAATATCACTCAAGGGCTTTAATCTGTGGAAAGGGTTGACTCCTCAAATGCCGAGCCGGTGAATTTTTAGCGCATCCCCAAGTACTACTGAGGTAGTGTTACAGTGGCGCCCCCGTGTCCCACATGGCCGATCCCCGCTATAGTTCCTACAGGGATCTGGCCAAGAACTATGAGAGGGAACTGGATACCCTAATAGAGCAAGGGGTTTTCAAACCAATTTTCCTATATCATGTTGTCATCCTCAACGTTTTACCTTTGATAGGTCTCACCATTCCTCGAAGCAGGGGCGGAAATTATGTTCGAAAGGGCCTTTTCGTGCTCTGTATTGCAATTACAATCGAAATTTTACAAAACCGACGGGCAATCATCGGAGGAAATGGCTATATGCTTGGCCTGATCACCGCGTGGTGGTTAGTATGGAATGCTACGTTATTTGTGTTTACGGACCTTGAGCATGATTTCCAGCGCATTGAACGGAAACCTGTCGATATTAAGTCTCAAAATGACGCGAAGATTGAACCCAGTACTGTCAAAAAGCCGCTCGACTCGCGCAATCCAACAGGTACACAGCGGGGCAGCAACCTTTTTGTTTGGCAGTCATACCCCAAAAAGTTTTGGCATCGCCTTGAATGGTCCGCAGGACTGCTTTTCAACCTAAGAGGGCCAGAATGGAACTGGCGGGCTTCCCATCTGGGTCCTCTTCCACAACCAATTCACGACCAGTTGCATTCAGGATTCATGGGCAGAATCGATGCACATGAGCCCACCACCTATCCCACCAGCAAACATCGTCTGCAGGCTGCCTTTCGGAAGTTTTTCATATCTTACGTTGTGCTAGACATCTTGAAAGTCATAATCCTGATGCCAGATCCCTACTTTCGAGGCCTTTCTCCAACAGATTCACTGTCACCATTTCCTTTCTTCTATTTCACAAATCTCACATTGCCTACTCCCATAGCCCAGCTCTGTCATCGTTTATACAGTGCCATAAGCGTGTATTCGGCCCTTGAATTCGTGACAGCACTCAATCCAATCTTCTTCCTGGGGCTATCTCTCGCATTCCCCAACGGGGCTAAGAAGTTGACCGCCGCACCATTGGATGCTCCATGGCTGTATGCCGATTCCTTCGGGCCATTTTTCATCCCGGTCCTTGATGAAGGATTGGCGGGTTGCTGGGGTCGTTGGTGGCACCAAATTTTCCGGTATGGTTTTGTATGTTCAGCACGCTGGATTTTATCCGTGCTTCCGGCCGGCCTAGCTTCACATCTACAAGTCCGTCGCGTTACTTACGTGATGGTGGCTTTCTGTCTTAGCGGCTTTGTGCATGCCTGTGGAAGCCATACCCAGATCGCAGATACATCCCCCGTGTCCGGAACATTCCTATTTTTCGCTTTGCAGGGTGTTGCAATCATGGCAGAGCAGTTTTTCAAGACATTCGTCTTCCCAAAATCGCCTCTTGCTGGTACACCAAGATGGCTGAGACGAACGGCAAACTTCGTGTTTGTATTTTGTTGGTTGATGGCCTCAGGTGGTCTCATTGCGGATGACTTTGCAAAGGGTGGCTTATGGTTGATGGAGCCTGTCCCAATCAGTCCACTTCGTGGATTGGGATTTGGGTTTCAAGGCCAAAGTTGGTGGTGCTGGAATGAGCCCTGGTTCCGGTACTGGAGTGATAGTACATACTGGGGGAGTGGCATACGGGTGCTATAGAATTGATAGATCTAAATTTTCGGGTTATTTTCGGGGTCATGAAGTCATTGATAGCGTATACATGAAATAAATTACATGATCGACTGTTTCTAAGACCTATAATAACATCGTCTATCCTTCCATTGTGACATCGTCATCCTCTTCGTCGGTGTCAGATTCGATATTCAAAGTGGGCAACTCATCATCGCTATCATCAATAGCCACCTCTGGAGCCTGCAAGGCCACGGTTGTAGATGTGGTGGACATCTGCGTGAAAACCTTTGGTGCCTCAATGCTAGTGATTTCAGGAGCCGGGGTGCTTGAGATAATTTCGTCGAATCGCGCCTTCTTGATTTGAATATCCTGCTTCTGCGGTGTGGGCTCCTCGGCTGTGGATTCCTCGGTGTAGGTCCGCTTGTGGAAAGTAGGCACTGGAGTTGTGGCCTTCGAATGGTCCGACTTCGGCACTTGCAGGGGAACCGACACAGGTTGCTTCAGAAATTCGGTAGTCTTTGGGGCGGCGTTGTATGTGCCATCAGCCATGTCCTCGTCTTCTGCTTCTTCCTCGTCTTCATCAACATAGGCGTCAAGCTCGGGTGCGGTCATCAAGACTGGCATCCGGGGACGGACGAGTGCCTCCACCTCCATCTGATCAGCATAAGGCCTAGTCAGGAATGGAATGATACTCGAGCCTGCTCCATGGCCCTTGATTGCCGGGACAGGGTTGAGTACGCTGGCAAACATCGCATCCTTGTCGGATGTCAAAATGATGGAGCGGTCCATTTCAGCCCTGATGGAGGGCGGAACAAGCTCGGCGGGAATAGAAACGAACACAGCCTGCAAAAGTCCGGATGCATTTTGCTGAACGTCCAAAAACGGAGAGGCCGCTTGTGCCTGGCGGGATTTCTGAAGATCAGGGTTGAAAAACGAGTCCGCATTGGCAGTTCCTTGTCCGCCCTTTGACTTTGATTTAGGGTCGGAGCCCGAATTTCCCGTGGAGTTGGAATCTTCAGCCGGCGGCAATAGATCATTGCAGCAAGAGCGTAGGATGGTTGTCAAAGACACCACACTCTGTCTGGTCATCGCGGGTCCGTTCACCGGCACCAGAGAACGAAGCAAGGCATAGATGGCTGAGCGCAGGTCTCTGTTGAACTTTTCGCCCTTGAAAGTCCAGACAGCCTGCTCTAGAATAGTCTGTGTTACTGAGGTTGCGCTGGTGGCCAAGATACTGACAACGTTAGAAAGCAAGCCCATGCACGCAATGTGAATGCGAGGCAGCTCCATCCAAAGTGCCTCTCGCTCGTCACGGCTAATTTCCTGGTTGAACTGAATGCCAGATTGAGACGATGCGGCACCATTGGGCGGAACAGTGACAGAAGTAAGTCGGGAGGTTAAATCGAGGATGGAGCCCATCGGAAGAGCAACTGCGGCTGCGGATGGCATCGAGATGAAATCAGACAGAATCTGCAGTAGCGCAATCAACCTATCCACACCCGAGTGCAGTCCACTCCAGCCTGGAAGTCCAAGACCATCTGGAGCCCCGTCACCCATTTCTTGGCTATAGTTTGGCCGTGTGTGCACCAGACTAGCATCGACAGACTCCCACTGCTCTACAACGGCTCGGAAAACGTGATCAGTGGTTCTGTGAATGGACAGAATCGTTGACTTGCAATCATCCTTCCATCCAGAACCCGCCTGATCCTTGGGTGCGCACTTGTGGAGAGAGACAAGCAGCTGTTCAGCTGCGTTGATCACAGGCTCCGGGAAATACGCAGGCGAAGAAGAACCAATTACTTCGGCGAGAAGAGTTCGCAGCTGGGCACCAAATGGCCGGAAGATAGTAACATGTCTTGGGATCAATTCCAGCAAGGCTTGCAAAACAATTTCCATGAATGGGGTGTTGGGCTTCGGCTTCCGGGTTGAGCCAGAGGAAGTCTTCGTGATGGTGGAGACCAAGTTCAAGGCGGCAGTAATGAATCCCGGAAGCTGCGGGGTTGTAATCTCACGGACAAGTGTTGGGTACTGGTATGTGAGGTGGAAAATACGAGTTAGGGTGATAATACACATCTTTCTCGTGGAGATTGGATCGGGTTTCTAGAAACGCATTAGTCAATGGAGCCAGCATAGATAGATATCGGTATTCAAATCAATTCATACCGCGAGGATACTGATCAAACTGCGAACAATGGGTTCATAGCCACGCAGAATTTCCCATTGGCCAGCTTCGACAGTAGCTTTCACCAGAACAACGGCGGTCCATCTTCCCTCAACACTGCGATCCTGCAACAGACTTGCCAGTCTAGTCTTCAGTTTATGGATTTGGACAGAATTATCGGAGTCCGATTTGCCAGTTTTCTGAGTTTGAGGGGTAGAGAGCAGCTCAGCGCAATCGTTCAATGAAGTCGCAAGGAACGAAGCGATCGAAGGTAGTTGCTCGACAGGAGTGGTTGTCAGGCGATGCGTGATGGCGCGCAAAGTAGTGGAGGACATGGCGATTGAAACAGACCTATATAACAGGTCTTAAGTCAAAAATCAGGCCAATTAATAGAAAAAAATAAGTGCAGACAAAAGGTGGAAGTCTTATCGATAACTTTTTTTTTCCATCCAAAAGCTTGGACCAATACATATGAACTGTCGGTATTAAATTACCGTCACGTACGTAATCGCTCTCCACCCCTGGACGATCATCGGGCTTCAGACTGACGATGTTAGCGAAGCTTGATTTGCTTTTCTCCCCTTTTAGATCATTCACAACTCTCCAGAATCATGGCTGTAAGTGTCCTCCTTGTCCCTCCTTCAAGATGTGCTGGTTTATATTTCTTCCAAATCTTTGATACCACCCAGTATTTATGTTGACACGTGCGAACCAGGGAGGCAATGCCGACAAAGGGCAGGGCTACATCGCGGCCCTGGACCAGGCGCGGAGTCAGGGTAGATGGGATGAACTCCCCGAGTTGATTCGAAAAGTCACGAAACACGCACCGCAAAAGACTTGTACGCCACCGGCCCCTAGTTTCTTGATCTCAGCCTAACCGAGCTGTCTCTAGGCCTGATACAGACCGCAACAGCGGAATCGCGTGTGATTGCGTATCTTCAACAAAAGTCCTCCGGTGACTCATCTTCCTCGCCGAACCTCGTCGAACTGATCCCGGCCCTGTTGATGACAATCGAGAATAATGACGGATCACCACAAGAATTATTCCAAGCGCAGGTCTGCCTGGGGTGGATACATTGGGCTTTTAATGAACCTGGACTTTCGGCGGCGCGTCTTCCTAAAGATTTCACAGCAACCCTTGGTAGCTTGGCTAGCGGAGAGCAACTTACTTCGTGGACCGAGGTCTGTTTAGTGAAGGGATGCTATATGAAGGGTATGTTTACTTTGTTTACTTCCGAATGTAGCCAATATTGAATCTGACAGCAAGCCAGCAACCGCGCAATCTACCGCTGCAGACATCGATGAGACACTGGAGATATTTGCGTCTCTAATTCCGTGGCTAAGCAGCGGCAAATTAGCCTCAACCACCACCTCGCAATTCCTGAACTGGTCCGAGTCACTTCTGGGAAATGGTGCTCTTTTAGCCAGTAATGAAGTGACTAAACATACACCCTATTCAGCTTCTAAGCATGCAGATATTGCTTTGCGATTGCTCAGGTTGTGGGCGGCTCATCCTGCCGTGAAACAGGGTGTCTCTCCAAACAACCCGTCGAATGTGGATTCTTTCGGCTCAGCTCCCCGAGCATCGGTATGGGCTGCTTATTACAGGCTTCTCACAGCGGTCCTACAGGGTGGACTTGCATACACTGGTCCGAATGATGGGCCGGACCGCCCGCAACTTAGCACTGAATTGCGCCGCGTAGAGACTATCTACGAACGCAATCTTCTCTCTGAAGTCATGTTCCCTACAGCAAGCTCGCAGAACTCACAAGTCGAGGAATGGGTAGAGCAAGTAATCAGCAACTGGCAAGTCTTGTGTGGTCCCGAGTGGCAGGATTCGGACCTCGGCGAAGGAGGCCAGAATGCGGTTAGTCGCAATGTTTTAGAGGTGAGTCCAACAAAAGATCATATCAATTTACATGTACTAATACTTGTTCTAGATTTTGTACCGGGCAGCTGCAAAGACCTACCATTCTCATTTGGTACTCCGACGTCTCTTCCATGTTCATTCTGCTTTGGCAGACTTTGACCTTGCCGTGAAAGCACTCGATTCCTATATCGAGATTGTCACTGGAGCCAAAGAAAGGGCAGAGAAGTCTGCGGAGTACGGTGAGCTGGAAAAGGATGAAGTCTTGCTGCAAACCCTTTCTGAAGGAGTCACATTATTGAGCTGTCTTGGCTCGTTGGAAGAGGCAGAAAAAGCCCGAGATCTGACTGAAATAATAAGGGAGTATACTGACAAGCACAATACGCCTTCCACAAATGGTCAGATTAATGGCAATTCGACGGACTTGCCAAGCATCCCTCCATCCGTGCTGGCCTCCTCCTACCGAGCAGTCGGTGTTGGACTTGCCTGCTGGGCAAGCTGGACTCCTGTGAATGAATCACGCGATGAAATTAGAGCCGATGCGATCGAATACCTTGAAAAGAGTCTTGCTCCAGAATTAGGAAGTAGCTCAAACTATTCCTCACTTTACACTCTAGGCCTTGTCTTGGCTGAGAACAGAGATTTGGACACTGCGATTGACTACGTCAAGTCAGCTCTGACGCCAAGCAGTTTGTCTACTGCAGTATCTGATGATCTTTCTAAAGAACGTGACTTAGTATCTATGTGGCATCTGCTTGCGCTGCTGCTGAGTGCGAAACAAGAGTTTGAGATTGCCGGGCGTTCATGTGAGGCTGCATTCGAGCAGTTTCCCCGAGAATTATTCTCGAAGGATCCTCGCGAACGGCGTTCATCGAGGCATTCGCAAACTCTTAGCCAGCGCCCGATTGTCAGTAGGTTGCAAGCCAGAGAAAAAGAACGGATCGTTCAAACTCGCATCACACATATTGCGTTCATCGAGCTCCTGGAGGGGCCTGAAGCCGCTGTCAATCACAGCACACAATTATTGGGCCTTTTCGGCACTCTTTTCCAGAACTTGAACCTCGAGGCTGGGGAAACTAAAGCTAAAGCAGACTACCTCGTACCGCCAAAAAGCTCCGCTGGAACTACCAAGAGCTTCCGTGGAAGCATTTTCGGCCGAAACAGAAATTCGCAATTACCAGATCGCCGTGCTGACCAGAGTAATGGCCCTGATGCCATCATTCCACCCACTCCAGCTATCCCCAATGGTCATATGACAGATTCCCCGTCAATTCAAGTCACAGATGAAGATCCTCACAGCCGTCAGGGAAGACCGCTAACGATTGGGAGGGCGGACTCCAAGAAATTGAAAAAGCGAAGCTCAAGCTTTCATAGGACTGAGAAGGCGCGTGTTGAAGAGCCCCCACTTCCTAATGGGGGTGAAACGTCAGCAGAAATGGTCGGCATTGCATTTTCTGGCACCACATCGCCAGAGTCCGTAATCCATCCTACCAAAGGCAAACAGCCACTACCGGCGATGGCACACAACATGGACTTCAAGCAACAAGCTCCCCCGGGCGGCCATGAGGAACAACCCCCTAAACAGGACATCCGGCTCCCAATCGGTTACCGTTTCGACTCTCCCACGTGTGCCGTCACAAAGTTTTCTTTAGTCCAATCCCAGAAGCATGCCTTAGCTCTTCTCGTCAAAATCTGGCTTGTTGTCGCTGGTCTTTATCGCCGAGCTTCTCTATTTGACGATGCCCGTGAAGCTTGCGAAGAAGCTTCGAAACAAGCAGCGCGAGTGGAAGCCCTTACTGCCTCACATGAATCCTCGGCTCGATCTTTTAGCAAGCGCGGCTGGGGTGCTTCAAAGAGCTCTGAGGAGCTCTGGGCTGATGTCTACGCAGAGCAGGGCCTCTTGTCCCAGGCTCGATCGAACCCCCATCAAGCCATGAGGCACTTTGAGGAAGCGCTGCTGCGCTACCAAGACCACCCAACGGCGACCATTGGACTTTCCAATCTTCTCTTAGACATATGGGACCAGAAGTTAGCCCCAGAGCCACCGAATGCCGACGTGGATCTGAACGCCTCACGTCTATCGTTGCTGTCGGAGACCCCCAAGCTCAAGTCTGCGAAGGCTATCTCGACCGACGAGCTCAAACTACCAAGCGAGACCGAAAATACGGGTTCCGAAGAGGCTCCTCTATCTGCACAAGATGTCGAGCCTAAGCAACTGCACCGTCTCGCGGCCCGCGATCGTGCCTATGGGCTTCTTTCATCTTTGACGAAGCTCGGAAGCTCCTGGGACAATTCCGAGGCGTGGTATGCGCTATCGAGAGCATATGAGGCCGGTGAGCAGGTTGAAAAGCTGAAAGAAGTACTTTGGTGGTGCATTGAGCTGGAGGATCGACGACCAATCCGGCACTGGTCCAATATCGGCTCCGGTGTCTATGTTCTCTAATAAAGGCAGCAAAATCCTGTATCTTCTTGTATCTACTTCATTTCCGCGCCTTTAGCAACGGATTTTTTTCCCAATGAGATACCTTTTTGTACCATAAGGGTTATCGTTACATACTACAATTTTCAGTGAAGCGCAATTTTGAAAACGGACTTTCTTCGTAAAAAAAATAAGCACTACAGGCAAAACGTCTTTATATACATTTCCCAAATCAACATATGAGTTGTCAATGGGTTGAGAAGGGAGAACAAGATCAATTGAACGGCAAAACAAGTGAATTGATTCTGCTACTGCAAATAAATTTACCGCGGAGCAGCGGTGGGAGTCCAGGCAATGATCTTGGGCCGGGTGCTAAAATGACGTTAGTCGATGCACAGAAAAAACACAACACATTGCACTTACGTGGAGTAAGTCTTGAAAGCAGCGCGACTCTGGGTCGGGTTGGGGCGGTGGTCGGCCAGCTCCCAGGGACGGAGACCGGACTGCATGATTTTGTCGGCATGCGGGGGCGCATCAACGGCGTAGGAGATCCAGGCGTGCCTTGATAAATTTAGTTCCACATCATCGCAGATGCACTGTTGACCCAGTGTTTCGAGAGAAGCGCTTACCAGCCAGGCTCAATCTGGGATGCGTCGTATTCGGCCTCCTTGTAGTCGACCCAGCGTGTTCGGACTAAACGGAGAGGTACCATTAGAACTTTATGTTTCAATGAGATAGTATGAGCCGAAGGGTCTTCTTACGAGGCAATTCCTCGATGTTCTCGAAGTATTTGTTTCCGAAGCGGTCAGTTCCGATCAGAGCTCCGGCCTTGGTATCACCTATAAGAGCGCGGATTGTTAGTCAACTGCTAGGCAGACGTCGATAGAGTGGCAACATACCAATGTTCTATATCACAGCGAACAGGGATATAAGTTAGTTTCGAGCTCATTCAATTGACCTGCTGTTCCGGGGGAAGCGTCCGTAATCGTACCTGCATCTGGTGGGCGGCATCCTGTACAAATGTGTTAGCGACCGAGTTTCCATAGGGAATAGATCGCAGTTATACAAACCTTGAATCCGACCCGGCGAAGGTTGCGCAGCGTCCTCACAATAGTCGACATCTTTGCTGGTATATTGTGCTAGAGCGAATGGGATGCGAGAGATTGGTGATTCGAGGTTGCAGGAAGGCGGTGTGTTTGCACTGTTTGCACCCCGCTCTACCATGGATATCCCGATTCAGAAAACCCTCGACCTTGGATGTTCAGACATGTTCGGTCGTAGCATTGGAGGGCAAACGCTTCGTTGCGCTGGGCGTCTCCCAGTCGCACGTCGGAGACTATGTACTCGCCAATTCTCTGCGCATACTGGTACAGGAGCTGCGACTGCAGCACCTGCTCCTTCACCTCTAGCAGGAATCACCGCGGAGCTAGACCGCATTGCTCCCCGATTCGAGGTGCCTGCGTCTCAGATTCATATCATTGACTCTCCGGCCAATTTCTATTCTACATTGAAGGTGTGTTCTTTTCTGTTCATCTGCTCGAAATTATTTGGTACTAACTACTAGTTCCGCAGAATAAAATCCGCACTGCCCGGCGGCGCATTTACCTCTCTACATTGTACATCGGCAAGACAGAATACGACCTTATCGACACTTTGAGCCAGGCTCTCCGCAGTAACCCGGATCTCAAAGTTTCTATCCTCACAGATGCTCTACGCGGCACACGGGAGACCCCGAATGCTTCATGCGCATCACTCCTTTGCTCATTGGTTGAAGAGTACGGACCTGAACGAGTCGAGATTCGGATGTTCCATACTCCTAATTTGACGGGTTTAAAAAAGAAGTGGATCCCTTCCCGCGTCAACGAGGGCTGGGGCTTGCAGCACATGAAGCTGTACGGGATAGACGATGAAATCATTCTATCAGGGTATGTTATCTAGGAACTGGTACAGACGTGGGATATTAATATCTTCGCAGAGCAAACCTATCCGAGGAATACTTCACCAGCCGCCTAGATCGATACCATGTGTTCGACTCCGAGGTGCTGACCGAATATTATGCTGGAATCCACCATGCAATCTGCAGTCTAAGCTTCCAGGTGCTGCCGGACCCTCAAAAAAAATCCAGCTATATTTTGGAATGGCCTACCACGAACAAAGCCCCATCTCCTCTTGATGATCCTCAAGAATTTATTGCATATTCATCAAAATTCTTGAGCCCGCTTATCCAGGCTTCTGACAACAAACCTGCACTTCCCTCTTCATCAAGTCAGACCTATGTATACCCTGTGTCGCAGTTTACTTCTCTCCTGCAACCTGATGACACATCTACCGAATATCCTGCCATGACGACAATCCTCCATCTCCTGTCAAGCTCGTCAGTCTTTGTCGGTGCCCGTTGGCTCTTCACAGCAGGTTACTTCAACATGCACCCTGTCCTTTCCTCCCTCCTAATTTCCAGTACAACCACCGCCTCAAAGACTCCTACCACCACGAAAGGTACTGTTCTAACGGCCTCACCGTGGGCAAATGGATTCTTTGGCTCCTCCGGAGTCTCGGGAATGCTACCAGCCGCATACACACATCTCGCTGCTCGCTTCCTTGATCGCGTCGGTGCAGCCCATGCCACTGACTCCATTCAACTGAAAGAGTGGCGCAAGGGCACTGTTGGTACACCAGGCGGATGGACGTACCATGCAAAAGGGCTGTGGATTACACTGCCTCGCGAGGAACACCCCAGCCTCACCTTTGTCGGTAGCAGCAATTACACAAAGCGCAGCTACAGCCTAGACCTTGAGTCCGGTGCGGTAGTCGTGACAAACGATCCAGATCTTAAGAAGAAGCTAGGTGAAGAGACGGAGCGGCTTCAAAAAGATGCCAGCCCTGTCTCAAGAGATGACCTGATGCGAACCGAGAGGCGAGTCGGATGGAATGTGAGACTTTCCATGTGGATTGTAGAAAAGGTTGGCGGTGCCTTATAATTCACTGCTTGGTCTTTTGTATAAATATGCTTTAGAAATAATAGCAAATCTGTAATATATCGGGGTATAGATTGATGTGATGAGCGAGCCTATCACACCATCGAAGAACATATCATCTGAGTCATACGCTCACTATAAACCACTCCTATTTCAAATACACTAAATCACCTCAGAATAACCACGGTTTGAGATACCTCCATGTTTATACGAGAAATTGTGGCCTCAAAATCGTGGTTTGGCTTCGATCTAGATGACACGCTCCACGAATTCAAACAAGCCTCGGCCCACGCCTCAACCCGTGTCTTCGAAACAATTCATGCCTCAAACAAGACCAGCGTTGATATCCTCAGAAGCACATACCAGGATATTCTGCGCAGTGCAACCGCAAATGCCTTCACAGATGGTAGAACCTCAAGCGAGTATCGGCGCGAACGATTCGGGCGTCTTCTCCAAGCGCACGGGCTCATTGATGACTCCCTGCTGGGTCGTCTGTTAGATGTATATCAAGAAACCTTACGCGAGAACTTGACTCTCAAGGCGGGTGCATTGCATCTTTTGCAGACTTTGCGAGGGCTAGGGAAGAAAGTCATTGTCATTACTGAGAGCCCGGCAGATTCGCAGGAGTGGACGGTCCAGGTCCTCGGGATACGGTCTTACGTCGATGCCCTTGTGACGACGAACTAGATCGGAAAGTCCAAGGTCGATGGGCTGTTTGGTGTTGTACTGGAGAAATATGGTATCGCCGCTGAAGATATTGTATACTTTGGTGACAATGGGATTCGCGATGTTCAGGCTGCGCGGAAAGAGGGGGTCTTGGCTGTTCTGTATGATGAAAAACAGCAGTCTCACTTGTATGATATCAGTGCGTTACAAGTGAATTCGTGGGGCTGTTGTAGAAAAGGTACTCGTCCATGGAGAGTAAGGATACACAATAGAGCATTGAGACATAAACATAACTTTTGGTCTAGCCATCAAGAGATATCAACCCTAACGCACAGGAATGCCGTAATAAAATAAGTAATAAAAAGCCAAACGCCATGTCATGACTGGGGGTTCCCGTCGTCTCATATGCAGTGCAAATCTTCATCTAAGCTTTTCCGGCGACTTTACCCTTCCCACTTGGGATACGAGCTGGGCCGAGGCCAGATCGTACCTCGTCAAGCATTCTGATGCCAATGGCCTCGTTACCGTTCTTGCCACGCTTGTGCTTAGCACCGTGTCGCTTTGCCTGTCCACTGGTATTGGGGTCCCAGCTAGAGAGGAAGTCGTCCATGACGTTGTTGAAGGTGCTACGGCTGTGTACCGCTTCGCCGTTACCATCGATCAGACTAGGGGCCTGTGATGATGCGGTGGACATGTCTGTCATGCCGGTTGCACCTGTCATTCCGCTGATCATGGACATGCTGTCATCGTATTCGTCTTCCTCGTCAAGAGAGTAGAGCTGCTCAATCCTGTCGAATCGGTCGTCAAGGAGGCGGTGGCCGGCAGTACGAGCCAGAGCGGACGATGTCATCGAGTATGCAGACGGGTTAGTCAGAGCACCCTTGCGCTTCTTCCGGCGAATTGGCGTTCCGCCAGCAGTGAAAACGGTTGATGCCATTGTCTGCGATGCTGCGATTGTCGGTGCAGCTGGTGCAGGAGTATTGCTGGCCTTGGCATCTTTCTTGAACTTGGCAAACTCGCTCATCCAACTCTGGTCAGTGGGTTGCATATCGGGAACTGGCTTATCATGCTCCGGCATCTCGCTGGGGTCCATTGGTGGCTTCACAGGCCCTGCTGGCAGTTCATTATCCATTGAGCGATATTCCTTGGTGCTGTCCGGTTGCACGGGCGCTTTCTCCGTAGCATCCGACTCCCATCCTTCATCTTCGACATCGTGATCAAACAGAGAATCCTCCCAGTCGCCCTCGTCAATTTCCTCTGCATTGGCTGTCAATTCGCCAAAGACGCCGTCATCGTCGCCATCCTCCACAAAGGCTTCGTCCTCCAGCGCCTCCAGCACCTCTCGCAGCCGAGGATCCATATCAGGCTTGAACCCAGCAATTGCGTCTGGGACATTCTGCTGGTCCTGGTAGGTTGGCTTGCGGATAAAGGACGAAGCAGTTGAGCGCATATCGCCATACTGTGAGCCATAGAGACTAGGACCGACGGAGGGGCTCTGGTCATAGGTATCTTTGTCCACGAGCGAGATCTGTCGCAGGGCATCTTCTAGCTTCATCCCTCGGCCAGCTCTGCCCTTAGACTTCTCAGTCTTGGCTTCGACAAAGTACGCATCTCCGGTGCCGCTTCCCAGCTCGCGCAGGTGCTGCATGTAATCGTAGTTGGTGTCATCGTAGTAGATGCCGTGGTTGGCGGCCTCGCCCTCATTCTTGCGAGCACTGTCGCCGTATTCGGACTGGAGATCAGACAAATTTGGCAATGCCTTCTTCGAAGTTTTCGCAGAAGATGGTACGGGTGCGGGCGCGGGACCTCCGACCTGGTACAGGAAACGGTCGTCCGCACTGGTATCGTGGATCAACGGATCATTTTGAGACCGGTGAAAGAGCTGGAACGTGCTCGCGTTCTTCTTGTCACTATGGACATGTCAGCGTTTATGCCATAATCATCCTCACTCAATACGTACATCCACTGTTTGGGCGGCATCTTTGGTTTTGGTCAAGTTTTTGGTATCGCAGAAAAAAAGGGAAAAAGTGGGATTGATAGGGTCACGTGTGTCTTATCGCCCCTCGTTCTCTGGGGTCCTCAGAATATTTGAACTGTAAGATTTACATGATTTCCAATAATGGTTCCTTCGAAAGTTCCACACTCTATATTCGTTTAATTTTGATTTCATTCATTGTGCAAATTCGCTTGGAGACTTGGGTATTATTGGGCTCGGCTCTTTAAGGAGGCCCGCATCAATAGTACTACTTTGTCACGTACCGGACCATAAACCCTAGTTTTGGACTGTATTTTTATTCCGAAATGACTTGATTATTGTATAGTGGTATAATTTGCACCCATATAATACGAATAAAATGACAAAACTCTGCAAAAAGTACAAAAAGAATAGCCATATACTTGCCCAGAGAGCCCTGGGCAGCCGGACCTCATACCTACCTAGGTAGAGGGGGGGCTGAGTCAGCGTTATCTTATCCATCCGTCTGAATAATCCAAAATTCCCTTTTTCAGGTGGGGGTTGTGCCTCCTCGACTCGATTTTTTACTTTCTCCAACTTTTTTTCAATTTCATCTACAGTCATCGCCATCATGGTTTTGGCTAAATCCAAGAAGTCCGTGGGACTGGGTGCCAGTCTCATGAACGATCGGTTCGGAAAGGGTAAAGCATCCGCTCTGAAGAAGGTCTCTCACAACAATGCCATCCAGCGCACAGGTGTCAATGGCGAAACCTACGTCACCAACGAGGCAAAGGAGGCCTCATGGGTCAAGATGCGCAGTATCACTGAGCAGGCTGCGCTCGATGAATTCCTGAGTACTGCCGAACTGGCCGGAACTGACTTTACCGCTGAAAAAATCAACAACGTCAAGATCATCCACTCCGATCAGAAGAACCCTTTCCTTCTCACCCCTACCGAAGAGAAGAAGGCTTTCATTAAGCACCAGAAAAATAAGGACCGCCTAACTGTTCCCCGACGACCCAAGTGGGACCAGTCCACAACTCGAAATGAACTAGAAACGATGGAGAAACAAAGTCTGTTGGACTGGCGACGAGGGCTGGCCGAGCTGATTGAGAACCACGATCTGTTGATGACCCCATTCGAGCGCAATTTGGAGGTCTGGCGCCAGTTGTGGCGTGTCATTGAGCGGTCCGATCTTATTGTGCAGATTGTCGATGCGCGAAACCCATTGCAGTTCCGTTCGGAGGATCTGGAGAGTTACGTTAAGGAGATCGATCCTCGAAAGCAGAACTTGCTGTTGGTCAATAAGGCAGATATGTTGAGTCTGAAGCAGAGAGTAGCCTGGGCTGAGTACTTTGAGAAGAACAATATCAACTTCCGTTTCTTCTCTGCCCACCTCGCCAAAGAGAAGAACGAGGCCCTCGCTTTGCAGGAGGAGGAAGAATATGACTCTGATGCTCAACTTGCCAAATCGGCGCAAAAGATCAACATGCAGGTCCACGCCACTGAAGATGATGGATACAAGAAGGAGGACACAGTGGAGGAAGAGAGAGCTAAGCTTGCCGACCCCGAGCGCTCGCTTGGGCCACATATTTTGGACACTGAAGAACTGGAAGAGCTCTTCCTGGCCAACTCCCCGGAAGCACTACCACAAGATGGCGAGTCTGGCGAGACCAAGCGTAAGACCACGATCGGTCTGGTCGGTTACCCCAACGTGGGTAAGTCCAGTACCATCAACGCCCTTCTCGGTGCGAAGAAGGTCTCTGTCTCTGCCACACCCGGTAAGACCAAGCACTTCCAGACTCTCTACCTCTCACCCGAGATTATGCTGTGTGATTGCCCCGGTCTCGTGTTCCCCAACTTCGCTACCACCAAGGCCGAGTTGGTCGTCAATGGTGTGCTGCCCATCGATCAGCAGCGTGAGTTCACCGGTCCTGCCGGTATTGTCGCCAAGCGTATTCCCAAGCATTTCATTGAGCAGGTGTATGGTGTGAAGCTTAGAATGCGTCCCATCGAAGAGGGTGGCACTGGCATCCCCACTGCCAGCGAGATTCTGCGTGCCTATGCTCGCGCCCGCGGTTTCTCCACTCAGGGTATTGGTCAGCCCGACGAGTCTCGCGCTGCACGATACGTTCTGAAGGATTATGTCAACGGCAAGCTTCTCTGGGTCAACCCTCCCCCAGTTGCCGAGGACGAAACTCCATATGATACCGTCGAGTTCAACAGCGATCTATATGACCTCGCCCATCTTCCCGAAAGACGCCGGGCTCAGCTCACACAAGCCAAGATTGGAAAGCACACCCCAGTCGAAGAGGCCACTGCAGACTCTGCCGGTGGCGTCGGCTCGGAGAACCCCTCTGAGCAAGTCAAGATTTCCGTCGAGCCGGAGCTTGGTCGCACCTCCCGCAACCTTGATACAGGCTTTTTCGGCTCAGAAACTGGTCCCTCTGCTGGCCGTCTGACCCTCCCCTTCCAGGCTCGGTACACCCAACAGGGCCAGGAGATGCGCAAGGCGCCAACAGGCCGCAAGGAGCGCATGATGGTTGCTCTTGAACGCGGCGTGGATGTCTCCGAGGTGAAGGGCAACACCAACACCAAGAAGCACTTCAAGGCAAACAAGCGCATGGCCAAGGCCAAGCGCAACAACCCTGAGGATGACGACTACTAAAAAGTGATTTTTCTTTCTATTTCCTTTGTGCATTGTTGCTTGCGCTCGCAGGCGAGTCGATGGGAGACTCTACTGTTCTCCTTCTACTCTACGAGGTATCATTCTTGGGCTCATGGGGCTTGGGGTGAATGAATTGATAAATGGTCTCATATATGGGATTTGCATGTCATGTCGGGATTGAAGGTTTATTTTCATGTTCATGCTCATGTTTGCTGAGGAATCATCTTTTTGGCGTTAGGTTTTTACGAGTTGAATAACGATCTATACCAGTCATTCATTCACTTGATCTTTTTTTTTTATCACTTTCCTTCTACTTTCCTTCTACCGTAAGACCATCAAATTGAACACGGATAAACAACCAAAGCCAAGTAAAGACGGAACAACCTTATATTTATGCATTCTTATTCAGCCGAAATAAACAGCAGACCCCGGGACTATATCGGAAACTATATCTCTCCATCATCTCAAAGACGGCTCTTAGCCTGGAGCCCAGAAGCAGCAAGCAGACGATCAGCCTCGTCACGTTGCCAGTTCAACTTAGCAGTAACGGCATCCTTGCGAGACTTGTTCTCCCGCTTACCCAGCTGCTGCAAGTGAACCTCATCAGGACCATCCGCAATACGCAGAGTACGAATACCGGCCCACAAGTACGCAAGCGGAGTATCCTGGCAGACACCGGCAGCACCATAAGCCTGCACGGCACGATCAATAACAGTAAGCGCAGTCTGAGGAACCAGGACCTTCGCCTGAGCAATCTCCTTCAGCGCACTCTTAGCATCACCCTGATCGATCTTGATAGCAGCATTCAAGACAACGAAACGGGCAGCATCGATCTCAATCCGCGACCTGGCAATCCACTCGAGGATCACGCCGTGCGCAACTAATGGCTGACCGAAGGTCTGCTTGCGCTCGTCGTTGACACGGGCAATCAGCCACTCAAGAGCGCGCTCAGAAGCACCAATAGCCCGCATAGCGTGGTGGATGCGACCGGGTCCTAGACGGCCCTGGATGATCTCGAAGCCGCGGCCTTCGCCGAGGACCATGTTTGAGACGGGGACACGAACGTTATTGAATGTGATGTGGCCGTGGCCGTGGGGGGCATCATCGTATCCGTATACCGTCAACATGCGGTTGACTGTGATGCCTGGGAGTCCGGCTGGGACGATGACGACGGATTGCTGCTTGTAGGTATCGGGGTTTTTGGCATCGGTCTTGCCCATTACGAGGTAAACTTTGCAGCGGGGATCGCCGGCGCCGGAGGACCACCATTTCTGTAGTCCGGGTGTTAGAAGTTGAGGATGAGAAGGGGTTTGTAGGGATTATAGGGATTGGAGAGGTACGTACCGAGCCGTTCAGCACGTATTCATTGCCGTCCCGGCGGATATCAAGCTCAATATTGGTCGCATCGCTGGATGCAACGTCGGGCTCGGTCATCAAGAATGCAGAGCGGATATTGCCCTGCAGCAGGGGCTCAAGCCACTGCTTCTTTTGTGCTTCGTTGCCGTACTTTGCGAACACCTCCATGTTGCCGGTATCTGGGGCAGCATTGTTGGTAGCCTGGTGATGAAAGATATTCGTCAGCAATCAATCACATCAATCGGTGATACCTCCAAGCGAATAAAGCAACGCGCTAGACGAAGAATAGAATAACCCACCTCCGAGGCAATCTTGCTCTTGCCGAGCAACTCGGCCATTAATCCATATTCCAGGTTTGAGTATCCAGCGCCCTGAGTGAAGTGGTTCTTAGGCAGGAACATGTTCCACAGACCGAGCTTCTTGGCCTTCTCCTTCAGGCTGTCCAAGACGGCGGGGTTGGTGGTCCATCGCTTCTCGCCTTCGCCGAGCTGGGCTGCGAAAACGGTATCGGCGGGGATACAGTCTTTTTCAACGAATTCCTCGACCTAGGGCCATGTTAGCATTTAATACCCAAGGAAAAAAAGCCTATGTAAACATGGAGGTTCTTGGCGGTTCCTGTTCTGTAATGGGTAGGGTATTGGGGATAACTTACCAGATCAAGGGTCCGCTTGGCCTGTTCGCTGACGAACGGCTGGGCAAGGGGGGGAATACGAGAAGAGGCAGACATGATTGTAAAGAGTGCTTGATTGGAGAATTCAAACAGAATCTACAGAATATAAAGAAAATATAAAGAATATCAGGAGATGAGGTCAGACCAGAATTGCGGAGAATGTGGAGAAGCCGACGGACTTGTTCAGATGCCTCGGCTCAGTGACTAACCGGGGGAGGGGCGTATAGATCATCCCATCGTCAGGTTATATCTCATTTTACTCGGCTAGATCACCGAGATATACCTAGGCACCTCGTGTAATAGACTCTTTCAATTAGATATTATATGTACTAAGAACACTGAACAATGATTCCTCAATTGTACTCCCGGAGTTCGGACACTATGTATAGAGAAGAGCAAGAAGCTCTAGCTGTTTCAGCTGGAAAAACAAAAAGAGAACAGAATATCAAAGAAGCCGGAAAAACACATCCTAGCCACAGTGGCCCTGCTCTCGCTCATTCCACTAATGCGTCAAGCTTGCTTCAGAAAATGATCTTCTCTGCACATGCACCAACGAATCTAGCAGACAGTAAAGCTAGAAATAGGAAGCAATAACGAGTCAGCATCATTCAGTCGAGTGAATATACCAGCAAGGCAACGTATTCCAATGCACCTGATCTTCACATAGCTTCATCCAGAAACTCGGGAAACGACCTCCATTCCCTGTCTTGAACTTCGGTCGTTTTTATTTGTTGGATCATTTAGCCTGAACAAAATTTAGAAACATGGATTGAAGCATCTTGACTGATATAAGAGCATACCGATTATAGGCTGGAAGACAGCAAAACCATTTGATGAGTTGTCTCATGTCACATGAAGTTTGGCGGGAAAGCTCATCGTCCCAATTTGCCCTGTTTGTATCCCAAATGGCAAGCATCATTGTGTTCCCCCGATGAATTGCTTCATGTAGGCCCATCGGCTTAAGGGACGGTATGATTGAGCATGTCGTCAAACCCCGCTGCCGCTTGTTTGTGTGCTTGGCGGAGTATCTTAACAACAAGGATGTATGTTTTTGTTTTGAAGGATGTATAGGGGCAGTTCGTGTTTTGGTTCACGACAACGTTTCTAAAGAAGAGGAGAGAGGAGGGACGGAGGTCTAACCTGAAGGATTTTCCAAGGAGCACTGCGCTTAGTCGTCGTCGCGCTGAGATTAGTCGTCGTCGAGCTTATTCGTCGCCTGGAAGCACCTCTCTATACACTGCCCAGGTGTACACTACGCAGAACTACATCCAAAAGACCAAGGTCCATTCAAGAACAAAAACCAAAGACTTCCATTGCATTGGATTGATTCCAATGTGCTCCATGAGATATTTCCCAATTACAGTTCCATCCCACCCATACCCCGTACACACCAAAAAGCAAAGGCATTGCAGGTCATCACACAAAAGAAAGGGCAAAAAAAACATAACCCCCAAAGACGCTGATCATATCCAAGATCTCAAATCTGCCTTTCCTCAATGCATCCGACAGCGACCGGCGCCGAGTAAAAGAGATTGAAGGAAAGACCACACAACCGCGTCTGAGGAAAAGAAAAAAGAATCAAAAGAATAAAAAAAAAATACCCCAAAGACCAAGACTAGTTTTCAGTTCGGCCCTGCTCGGCTGTGGATTGCTCGTAGCTCTTCTTGCCGAGCTTAGCAAACAGTGACTGGGGCTTGCCGGCACTGGGAGTTATTATTAGCTCGTGTCCGAGGTTGTGCGGTAGATCCGGGGGAAAGCACATACTTCTTAAACCGCTTGCCCTTGATATCGCTCAGTTTCTTTGTGCAGGGACTCATGATATCGTCTGAGGGGGAGACGTAGGAGGCTGGTGGTCTGTTGTCGTAGGTTAGTTTTTTGCATGATGGGAGGGAATTAGTTGCTGGATACTCACTCTTCGCCTGATACTTTGCCTTGCAACACTTGGCGGTGGTATTCCATTGATGACACGTCTGAACCCTTCAGGTCGGTCTTGTCGCTTGAGTTCAGGTGGGTGTTGGTTGAGCGGTCGGCCAGAGGCTGAGCTTGTGTGGTTGCGTCCATTTTTGTGGATGTGGATGGATTTGAGGGGATTTATACTGGGTGGTGTGTAGTATTTCGTATGTTGTATGCGATGATCGAGAGAGAGAAGTGGGAAGGTAAAAAACAAATCGGATAAGATGAAAAACGCCGCCCTGGGTGTTTGAGAAAAATGAACTTTGATTGTTGGCTGGGCAACTGAGTATGACGCCACATATTCCCTCAATGAAGCAGGATATTGTTACATTCTATTATTTGTATATTATACAGGCTATTGTTTATTGAATATCTAAGTGTTGTCGAATTTAAGGAATGCAAATAACTCTAGCAACAGGTATCACAGTAGTAAACGGAAGAGTAAACATAGTGGGAATCATATCATCGTCTAAACATAGTACACGCAATAGGGTAACATAGTACAGTGTACAGATGCAAAGGCTAGTAAGTAAACATCAGTATACAAGTCAGGTCATAAGAATACAGCCAAAGCCGTTATAGCCATTAAAGTGAAAGGATCACAAGGGAAGGGATCACCGTTCAGGCGACCGTGGATTATCGGTAACCAAGTCGACATCAGCTGGTGTATCCATATCCAGGTCAATGGGGCGCCCATTCAATACAGGCGGCGTACTATGAGAACGGGGTTGTGGTGTTGCCAGACTGAGAAGAGACATAGACTCAGGGGAGGCAGGTTCTTCCATCTTATCTGTCTCCTCAAGATCTCTTTCTGGAGAAGAAGAGGACGTAGGAGTGGGCGGGGAATAGGCTGCGGTGGGACTAGCAGGACTATCTGCGTCGGACGAGTCAGAGATGTTTCTGCGGTGGCCATTATTCTCACGGTATGAGGATGACGCTGGGCGTGTCGACGGGCTAACAGAGGGAGAGGCGAAAATTGGAGATGAAGACCGCAGACTGTAGGACCGGGTGACCATTCTTTGAACCGCGGGGAATTCCATATAGTTACTTCCCGAGCCCCGTGAGAACAGGGCAAGGGCAAAGCAGCAGAGGACCATGATGCTCTGGATAACGGTGACTCTCTTTTGGAAGACTAGTTCGTCTGCAAGGACACCAAGCTGGCCGCTGAGGGATTGGAGTTCTTGGTGGTACTGCATGCGCTGGTGTTGAAATTCAAGAGCAACGGATTTCCAAACGTAGTCGTACTGCTCGCGGAATTCTTTTAGTTCGTTGATAACAGTTACATTGAGGTTCTCAAGGAAGGTAGATGTCTTCGCTAGCTGCCGCTTCTCAACCTTGTTGAACGCATCACGCAAGATGCGAGACTGTTCCTCGATATAGAGAAGAGACAAGGTTGAGTTCGACTCAAGCATCTGGAGCCGCTTGTGGACGGATTTGAAGAAGGATTCTTGGGTCGTGGGGTTTGCGGATGGCGGGTGAGTGTGTGTAGCTCTCGTCGATTCTGGGGGAGGAATGTTGTGCTCCTCTTTGGGATTGGTAGTGGATTTCCCAGCAGTCTCAGATGTGGTGTTATGCTGAGCAGGCTCCGAGGATACGTTAGAGGCAGTCGAAGCGGTCACCACATTTTTGGTAGGCTCGCCCTGCTTTCGGGAATCCTCAGAGTTTGAGGAGGCGGGTGATCCGGCTTTGGTCGCAGATGGACTACCTCCAACTACGGCAGTAGAGTTCTGTTTCGGTGGTGTATTGGTCCGGTTCATTGTATCTGACGTCAACGGAGTCGTAGCAGTTGGCCCATCATTAATACCGCATATATCCCCACCGATGTGTTTCGCAAAAGGCGACACAGCCTCTAATGGAGGGTTCGGACAGACCTCATCCACTGCAAGGCTAGATTCCACCGGAGGAACGAATTTCTCAACAGGTATCTCGACCGGCACCTCAACAGGCTTGGTTTCCACATCTCCAGGAAGCTGATTAGCTTCACTGGCATCCAACTCCTCAACCTCAGCGCGGTCAGAGCTCTCGCCATGCTTGTACTCTTCCATCATAGTGGTACCGTGCACCCGAATCAAGCTGACAGGGCAGAAGAACTCATGCCCATAGTGCGTAAGGAACTCAACCCGAAGGTATCGAGCCCAGATAAGCGAGTTCTCTACTGCAAAAGCCTGCACCTCACGAGTGTTGCGCGCCTCATAGACCCCGAGTTCTTTCCACTGATCCGGTTTGGCGGGATACCGATCCGAGACACTAACCCGGAATGTGCGGAAGATAGAGCTGAAGAACTCGTAGTTTGCAAGGACGACTGTATCAACCAGAATATCATCGCACAGTTCCAGGATAAGAAACTTGTTCTGCGCGCGACACTCATTGAGCATATAGCTATCCTTATTCTCAATGAGCACAGAAGACGAACCCTTGCACTCAGGATTCGTCTTCAACACCGTAGCCGCGCAGTCAAAGGAAGCATAGTTGAACCGCTCCTTGCAAGTAGTGCCAGCGTCCTTACGACGCGACGCGTCTCGCCGGATTGCGCCTTGCGCGTGTACATCCGCATTGCCTCTATCCGCGTTCCCTGCCTGGCCGGCCTCGCGCGACGGGATATGCGAGTCCCAAGCGGTAGGACTAGCCTCGGGCGTCTCAGCGCCGAAGCCACCAAACTCCAACTCGATCTCACCATCGTCGCCAAGCGAATCCAATGCATTGTTGATTCCTGCTGGCTGCCGACGGTCTGCCTTTCCAGCTGTCGAGGCACGTCTGTTCCCTCCGACATTCTCGGCTGATTGTCCGACTTTCGCTAGATTCTGCTTCTTCCAGTCCTCGAATGAGAGGAAACTAGCGCTGTCCAATAGCGAGTCTGTATCTTGGTCCTGTTCTGCGGTCTGGTCTGGTGTTGTCTTTGCTGTCTCTTCTGGCGTCCCGCTCGAGACAGCAGGTGTATGAACAATTGGGTCGCTGGCTACTGCGCTTGGATCAGGTGATGCCGAAGCAAGATAGATATCGCGACCCGGTCCCCAGCGCGTCTCCAGACACGGTGGCAAGTGGAAGAGCTCCGCCTCCGTCTGCCAGCTACTCTTCGCTAGACATGTTGTTACTGGTGTCGTGGGGAGAGCTCCTTGCGCATTGTTTGGAGGTGGCTGGGCGGTCGCATTGGAGAGTGCGTTGGGGCAAAGAGCCAAAAGGAGGGACGCACGGTATATCCAGAAAGTCAATGACCGGCCCGCGGTCAACATGCTGTCGGTTTGATGATCAGGAAATCGCACTTGTATAGCTCCGGTGAGTTCAAGCTATGAATTCGACTGTGCTATGCACATCGTGGCTGGGAGTAAGAGCAATCGACTTGGGTAATTTTGTATATCGGAGAAGAAAGATTGCGAAGTAAATCCGAGCTTGGCGACAAATAGCGGTCTCCAGAAAGAACAAATGGCAGGAGTGGAGTGGCATCATCACAGGGCTTTGACCGCCTTTTAATTAAGCTTCACAACCAATACCGTTGATTTAATATCCAACTACAAAAGACTACGGAGTACAACTATACAGGCTAACATAGATTGACAGAGAACAGTTCTTCGCGGATGTTGATCAATTTTCTCTTTGGACTGTGCCATATAACTAGTTACAGTACAACACGATCAAGAGAAAACGGCCGCGGTTATTTCACCAACCTAGCCAGCCCAGATCGACTTCATCGCAACATCACCCCCACCTTTTCCCTGATGAATCCACACCAAGCGCATAGTTCGGATGCAAAGAAAGTATCCCGCCAGAATAAAATATCCACCAGCGCATTCCGAGCCAGCCTTCTAACCTTTTTGTGGTTTTTCGTATTCGTTCGTCTCCGTCAGTGTCCGTGACCCTCGGTCTGATATTGTACATGAAGAAAGAAGGAAATAAAACAGTTTGGACGAAGGAGGGTGATGCAATGCACGTGGCAATGCACCGTTGAGGACGAGACGGAAACGAGACGAAACACATAATCCAAGAACAAAGAGACATAAGACAAGAGAGCGGAACATTAATTTATCGTGGGTAATTTTGAACTTTTTTTTCCCAACTGAATCGAAACATGCAAGCGGACATAAACATGAGGGGGGAGTATAAGTCTAGGGACGGGGTGGAGTGAAGTGCGAGTGAATTCCGAGAACACTAGAAGTGAGTCTCATGCCATCCACCGACGAGATCGAGGTCATCGTCAATGCTTCCATCGTCAAGAACGAAGTTTTCGGAGACATGACTGCGCCAATCCTGTCGTTCGAGCAAATGGCGGCGGCGGGTCTCCACGGGGGATGCGGGCTTGGATTTGGTCTGGTTGAAACCAGAAGTGCCTCGACCCCAATCATGTCGCCGAGTGTTGGCAACGACGCTCTTGGGACCAAAAACCTCACGCGACTTGCGAGGCTTATACTTGCGCGCTTCTTCGTCGGGTTTATACTTGCGTCGCACCTCACCAAGCATCGACCACTTATCGGCACTGGACGGCTCTGGTGGGGAGTTGCGCAAGGGGCGAGGTGTTCTGCTCGACGCACTGGAGTCGCTGTCTTCGTCCAGAGAAAGATCTCCCAATACATTGGGTTCCATCTTCAGATCCAAATCTGGGCCTTGAGAGCTCTTGTTGTTAGAAGCGGAGTCCGGCTCGCGCAATCCTGGGAGGGGAACTCCCTGGCTCTCTTGGCTCCAGCTGCGAGAGTTCTGCTCCCGTCGTTGGGCCACAGCGAGATCCTCATTCTCGGACTCCTCTTCGTCCCACATGTCGCACCAGCTCTTTGAGATCTTGTCGGCACCTTTGTTACCAAAGACCATCGACAAAGAGGGAAGGGGCTTGGTTGCATGAGATGGCAGTGATCCAGTGATGGAGACCGGATCGGAGCGGGGAAGAGACGGCACCTGACGCTTGCGAAGGTTGAGCAATACGAAGGAATCGCTGAGCTGAGAGTCCAAGACAGAAGCGACGGATGGAGTTTCCATGTGGGACGAGAACCAGGAGGATCCCGCAGCTTCGGAAGCCGGGAACAAATCCTCTGAATAGCTCTCGTTGTCCGGGATGGCAGATAGTTGTCGCATAGCCTGGGGAGGACTCGACTGGAGCGCCTTTGCCCATGGGAAAGAATCTCCCTGGTTGACATGGGGGCTCTGGAGAGACGGGGTGCGAAGCGGTTCGCGGTTGGCGCTAGCAGCGACGACCTCGCGGTCTTCGGTGCAGAACTCATCGAGAGATTCGTCGTCAGTTGTGAAAGAGACGGCGCGGATGATGCAATCGCGCACCTCCGACAAACATCTCTTGGAGGGATCAAGGGTCAGGGCATGGGTCAGAATCTCGTAGGTGTCCTGAGACATGTTGGGGAAAATGTCGAACAGTGATTGGCGATCGCGCACGAAGTCCGCAAAGAGTACATCGGACTCAGTGGGGGTGACGAAGGGATTGCGAGCAAACAGAATGTTCAACAGACAGATACCCACAGACCAGATGTCGGCCTTAGCGGGGGAGTATCCTGTCGTGGTCGGATCATATTGCTCGGGGGCCATGTAGCGGTCGCTGCCAACACACGCCTCGTGACACCACGAATCTTCCGTGGCGAGACCGAAGTCGCCTAGCTTCATGGAACCATCCTGTGTCAGGAAGATATTCTCCGGCTTGATGTCACGGTGATACAAGCCATTGGCATGCATGAAGTCGACGGCGCTAATCAGCTGCAGCATGAAATCACGAACGTGCTCAGTCTCCAGTGGACCACGGTTCAGACGGATAGCCTCGTATAGATCTCCATTGGCACAGTACTCCAACACAAGATATTTGTGAGTTTCGGTGTCGAATGTATGAATCAAGTTGACCAGATTCCGATGAAAACCAAACCGTCGGTGACACTCGAGTTCTTCGAAGCGATCGTCATCAGAACCCGTTGAGGGGACCTTGACTAGACGTTTGATAGCAACGTCTTGGTCTGTCTCGGTGTCTGTAGCAAGGAAGACCATTCCAAAAGAGCCATGGTTGAGGGGGGCGACAGTTCGGAAACGACCATCCAAAAGTTGGCCTTCAACGAATTCTTCCTTCGGGCATTCCATGATCGACATGTTGGCTTGATGATCCCAAAAAGAGGACGAATGCAGAGATGAGATGAAATGGGGGGAGCGGACTGATGTAATGCTCCAACAAAGAGATGAAGTGAAAACAAGTCTATGAGCCGCTCAAAAGAACACTTGCGTGTGTGAAGAATGCGATCGAAGTGCGAGAAGGCAAAAAAAGCAACCAGGCTAATGAAGATTAAGACAACGAAGAGAAGTATCAGGCGTCGGGTCCAAGGTAAGTATAGGTGGGCGAAAAGAAGAGCCGAGTGTAGTCAGGAGGTTGAGATGAAGGGAATCCTGACTTGTCACGAAGTCATGTAAAAAAAAAAAATGTACTGATGAAAGTTGATAGACAGATGAAAAGAGGAGAGAACGATAGCGCAGTGGCGTAGTTGAACCTAGGAAAAGGTTGTTGATGCTAAAGAAATGGGTAAAGACCGTTATGTGCTCATTTGTATTTCGTTTTCGTTGGTTAACGGGAAGGGGTCCCAGGTGGACGACACGAATGTGTCAAAAGGAGAATGGAGAAGTGTTGGAAAGTCGGCCTGATACCGGAAGTAGAAGAGAGTCGAGATAAAGCGCTGCGTAATATCGTGATTGAAAAAAAGGTCAAAGATGTATAGGAGAAAGAACGAGCAAAAGAAGAATCCTATGAACACCAGGTTCAAGGTGGAGGGCCGTGACTCAAGTTGAAGATAGTTGAGATTAGTGAGTCATGAAAGGCCGGATGGAATTGTTGGGGCAGATTGGTTGGGCGAATTGAGGGATCCGGTAGAGCACCCTTCTAATCCAAGTTGGAAAAGTAGAGATACTCGATGCCAGGTTGCCCCTGAAGTATGAAACTCCCGAAGTGCTCCGACGACAAGGCTCGACGGAAGAAGCGTATATGTTACCCGCAGGGCAGGTAACACCTTCGTGTTGGATTGAAGTGACGAAGGCTGGAGGTATTGATAGCACAATAGCAGTCAATACCGGAAATTGAGACTCTTTTATCAAGTTGATGGAAGTGAGTCACCCGAGCTCAAAAGGTGGACCCGAAATTCCAAGGAAAAGGGGGGGGGGTTCGGACGGAGAGGCGAGAGGAATATTCTTCTGTCAAAGGTCGATCAGGGATCAGACCTTCAAGCTTTGAAGTTAAGGGAAGAATATAGGACGTCCGAGGTTGGCAAGTGTCTTGAGATGGCAAGTAGACACTGCAATGTTGGTAGCCTTGGAATGATTCGAAGTGATAGAAAGGTGACGGGTAAGTGATGGGATAGAGAGAGGAGCGGAAAGGTAGAAAGGCGGAGGAAGAGATAGGATAGAGAAGCGAAAAGAAGAGAGATGGAAGGGAAAGGGAAAGATGAATTGTCGATGGTAATAAGACAAGAGAAGGAGCCAGGGAGAGAGAGGTGTTGTAAAGGCAGTGAGGGGAATTGGAGAGGCGAAATGATTGGTCATACGGATGTGATACGGTAAGATACCAGTTATTCCCTCGTGGGTTTATGTACATAGTAATTACATATCCATTGTGATCTGCACAGCCCACCCTCAATGTGACTGCATTTTAGTATTACGGAGTAAGTGGTAGCCCGTTTCCGTCTCCCGGGGAAACTGGTAAGGTATGGAATGAATACAGGTATTGTTACGGATCTCTCCAAGTTTCATGAACCTTCCAGGCATTCCTCTTATCCTTGGGAAAGGCGTCAAACGTCTACGTGATCTCGATACCATGGAAGCCAAACGTTAGGTTCCCTCTGAAAGATAACGCGATAACCGTTTGAATTGCATTGTCCGTTTCAACCCGAAGTTTGGATTATCACATCATCGATTCTTCCCTATCTTTGAGATTTCCAGACTTTACACAAATTCAATCCTCAAATCCCAAGGATATTTTGACAAGCCAGTCGCAACTGACATCAGCAGGGGCAGTCTTTTCTCTTTGGACTTTGGAGGGCGGATCAAGGTGGCGCACTAAGTCCCAAAACGTATAATTGCGCAGTCAAATTCTGGTTTCTGGGGGGAAGACTAACCAATGAGAATAGATTATGTGACCACTATTTCCAGGCTGCATGACGCGATAGAGTGGGATGGCGTGATCTTTTCTGATTGGTTCACCCCGGATACTTACTGCAAGCCTTCGAATTATACGTATGTTGTCTTTTCCACCTGCCTATGGGAAGCATACCCT